AACAAGGCGGCCGCCCGGCGCCCACTGCTTGAGCGCGATTTGGATTGGTGTTAACACAACCGCAAGGGTTGCGGTTTTCCTCCGGCGCGTGCTGCCTTTGGAGAGCCTCCTTGCGCCGCCTACAATCTTGGAGCCCTCTGCAGCTGCGACGCAGGCCCTCTTGCAGGTGTGTTGCATCTCTTCTAACACTGAAAAGGCTTTGCCTGCACCTATTGCAGAGACACCTAAGACGGTAGACGAGTTTGAAGCTTAAAGTGCATGATTGGCGTTTTTCGAAGCTACCACTGACCTTGCGGCCTTGCAAGAAGTGGATGTTTCTACCTCTTTTTGGTTACCAGCCCTCAAGGGTGAGCATTAGCGGACTGAGTACAACGCCAAACAGACATGGGCCCCCAACGCGCCCGGCCTGCTTGGTGTAATGCTGCCACCGCCCATTAGGCAGCCCTTAAGGGGCTTACACAATCCAAACACCCAACCAAGCAACGCAAGCAGCTTCGGCAACCACGCCGTTGTCACAGTTGCTTAGAAGATTCCAGTCGGAATCAAGTAGGCTGCGGCCGTTTGGCGCAGCGTGGTATCCACCCCACGCCTGATTTAGGTGTTGCAGCAAGGCACGCTGCCTCGCCACCTTTCATTTTGCTTGCGGGCAAAAGAGCCGCGGCAGGTTGTAACCTGCCCATTTTGCATTTCCCGCACCTTTCTCCTTAGCCCTTTTGTGGCTGCTGCACTAAGCACTTGCCGAAGCGCGTGTGAGCGCCTAGCCCGCGGCATGAGCCCAGCGCGGCTGCTGCCAAGCCGGAAGCATCCGTAGTAGTGTAGCTTTGGTAGGTAGTTAGCCGTAGCTTTGCTCGTAGTTTTCTTGCAGTTGTACAGTGTACCATAGTCTGGACCATAGTCTGCGTACTGGCAGCTAGAGACCAGCTCGAGGATTCAAGAGCCTCGCCCACCAGCAAAAGGGTGAGGACCTCCTGCGGTTGCTGTCGTCGTGCATTCGTTTTGGTGGTGCGGGCTAGCGTCCCTGCCGCATGCCAATGCTCATGATGTGCGGACCACCATGGTCGCACGCGACACCCTCGCCCTTCCCTTTCTGTGTTCGGCGTGAGTGCTTGATGCATTCTGAGCTCGAGATGAGCTGGAAGCCTCGGCTGAGGGGCGAATGTGAGCAGGTCTAAGCACGCATGCTTCATGTGCAGAGCTGCCAGAACCAGTGCTATAGTTTTCACTTGCATGTTCAGTTTTGCAATTCGGTTGTATGCCAATTTTGGCTCAAGTACCGAGCTAGACTTGTGCCTTTGAGCACGGTAGTTTCGTACAGTAGCTCTTAGGTTGCTGTGCGGTCCGACCGGACGCACTAAGGCGTAGGTAGCACAGAGCGTGGACTCAAGAAGTCGGAAAACAGCGTGGCCAGCCTGCGTTTGCGTTGCTTGTGCAAGACCAGTGACTGGTCGACTTCACACTACGACGACTACTACTACGACTACTACTACTACTACTACTACTACTACTACTACTACTACTACTACTACTACTACTACTACTACTACTTCTACTTCTACTACTACTACTACTACTACTACTACTACTACTACTACTACTACTACTACTACTACTACTACTACTACTACTACTGCTACTGCTACTGCTACTGCTACTGCTACTGCTACTCCTACTACTACTCCTACTACTACTACTACTACTACTACTACTACTACTACTACTACTACTACTACTACTACTACTACTACTACTACTACTACTACTACTACTACTACTAGCAGTGGTACAGCGATAAGTACCAAGTCCCTTCCATCGCCGTCAGTGATGTTTGGCAATTATTAGCTCAGGACTGTCTCTTAGACAAGCCATCTCCTTCCTAGGGAAAAATTCCCTGCAAAAAAACGCCATTATCATCCCAGCTGGCTCACCATGCCAGGACCTTACTTCAGCAGGTTTTGCGTAAGTCGCAGCATATGTTGGTCATTTATGCCATCTTGCTTGCTCTTCGCACCATCGACCCGACGCTTCTCTTGTGCGTGCACATTCTACTGAAAATGCGGGATCCATGAGGCGTGTCCACAAGGAGTTCATTACTACCATCTTCGGCATTCCCAAAGGATGCTGCCATGTCATAGCGGGCTCATCTGTCGGACATGTGGAGCGCAATAGGCTCTTCTTTACCAGGTATGAGGAGCTGGGCGAATTAAGACCAAGACCTTATCCTTGGCTTGTAGGTTGGAGACCTGTTCAGGGCTTCAAAAACTGCCACCATATTCGGCCAACAGCTGCCCAGAAACCTTGGTTGAGACCCAGGGGCTTTGATAGGGAAAAAGTTTGCGAGAATGGCGACATAGAGGCAATGGACTTGGCAATGGCTTTGCTTACGGGGGCATCTCACTTGACAGCTATACCATTGAGCTGTGGATGAGCCGAAGATGGAGGTTTCGCTTTGCCTGGCATGTGCATCAGAATGCTGAACCCGCATTTTGCGGACGTACATCCCGTCTCTGTGTGGTTGGGGAACCAATTGTGGACACCACATCGACATCCTCCTGCACTGAGAGCACGGGCTGTTTCACCTAGGTACTCGCGATGATTGGTTTCGTGTTGGCTCTTTGTTTCTTGCTGCCGCTTTGGTTGCTTTGCCGTGTAATCTCGAGTTTGTTTCACTTTGTCGCAATAGACCGGCCCACTGTGCTGCTGATGTGGTAAAGGGGCGCCCGCTTGAAAAAAAGAAATGCCCACAGCTCTGCTAACCCGCTGGAAGCCGATCTCTCATCGTTTCTGGTTCTGCTTGAAGGATGCTGGCCTGGTTCCCCCTTCGAGTCAAGCTGCCGCTTGAAAATCTTTGGTGGTTTCCGTCCAGCATTCTGTCTCTTGCCTTCCCTTGCCCGGGGTGCTTCCTTCGAGTCCCTTTCTTTCTGAAGTACCGACCAGGATCTTTTTTGCCAGCGTGACGAAAGCAGCGCGTGCCTTGTTTACTGCATCAGCATCATGAACATTCGTAGCGGAATAGTGCGGGGTAGTGAACACCCAAAGTTCTGGAACACTGCAAAACCTATGCTCGAACGTGTTCCGTCAGCCAGGTTTGACCATTTCATGCTAGTGTCCCTTGTAGCGCATCGGCGTCAAGTTGTGTGATGGATATTGCTGGTGAAAGGCCGTCATGGCGGGCTCGTTGCGCCTCATGGAATTTGGAAAAGGGAGCTCGTGGAAGCTGGAGAGCTGCCGGGTGCGGCGGGCCTCTGAGGGCTCTGAGGGCTCTGAGGGCTCTTGGGGCTCCTGAGGGCTCTTGGGGCTCCTGCGGTTCTTTATCGGAGCCGGCTGCTCAGGCATGGCACCTGTAATTTGTGTGGGTCAATGCACGGGATGTGCATGAGTTTGTTCGTGTTCCGGCCGTGGCCTTTGTGAGGCATGAGACTGGTAATCTAGGTTTGGAGCTGATGGAGCGTGTCAGGAGCGAACTGAACCGTCAGGATCAGGATTGGCAGGCTTCGGTCTTCCTCCTTGGGTTCCAGTTTTCAAGACAACGACCATTCACTTCACCTTCTCCGAAGTTGAACATTGACAATGGCAATGTTAGAAGCTAACTGCTTCGCTTGTTCAAGGAGTTCGACCTAACGAGACGTTGGCTCTTCCCATTCTGATAGAGAAGGGTTCTAAAGATGTGTGACAAGGCGTCTGAAAGGAAGCGTATCTGAAGTACCCACAAATGTGAACCATGTCGGAACACCAGGTTGTCAGCAAGGGAAGGCGAATCGCAATGCTGCCTGCAAGAGGCATGATGAACGGTCTGGAACTTGAACGGATGAAAGACCAAAGTAAAAGGTTGGTTTTTTCGAAAGGAGCCAGGATCAGCCATCCCGATGCCTGGCGCAACTGTGCTCCGTGAATGCTGTGGAAAATTCTGCTAAAGCGAGCAAAGACCGCTGATGGCGGGTCGACAACTGGGGATGGAGGTCGAACTGTATGGAGCTTCCCCAGGCCTAGCCAAGCTAGAGTGGAAGCTAGAGCTCCTGTGGATGTGGACTCGTTTCCAAACGAATCCAACCGAACTCACTGGCGTTTAACCGAATTCCTTGTGCACCGAAGCTCGTCAATTCACTGACTCCACGCTGATTAGCAAGAATGCTGCGCGTTCACAAACGATTCAGAGGTGCGGGTCTCAGATGCGGAAATGCGTTGTCCGAGGTGGACGGTTGTCTAGTTGAGGTCCAGAAAGCCTATTGAGGGTCGACGGACTGAATTCGTGAGCATGGGCTCGCGTAAAGCTGGCAAGGGTTGTGTCGGCTGTTGAATCTCATTGGTTTGCCAAGGCATGGTGTGAGAATTGTCCCGACGAGATTCCTCCTCACGTTCTGTCAATGATTTGGTCCTGTGTGGAAGCAAGGAAGCTCTCTAGCTGCCGGGTGCCTTGCATGTCGGGATGTTGCACATCGCGCTCCTGCCTAGGCGCAGCGTCCTCGCAACTGTCGTCGCTTTTGGACGTCGCCAAATGTGAATGTGTCGTGGGTCTTGGTAGTTTTGGAGGACATCCGGAGCTTTGGTGGCGCGAAAGTCGACTTTCGTAGTACAAACAAACGCAGTATGCCGAGGAAGCCGAGGGCATCCGGAGGTCCATTGGCTCGAGGGTCCACTTTCATAGTACAAGGGTTGTACTTAGTACGCAAAGGACGTCTGGAGCTCCAGCGGCATCAAAATCGTTCTTTCGTGACCCCATGAAGCGTTCTCCTTGAAGTTGCAAGCGTTCCTCGTGTCTGGAAAGCTTGACCTGCTTTTCGTGTGCCCACGTGGTCTCCCACTTTTTGGGGTCCACGCTGCATAGTTTTTGACGACCGTGCGCTTTTCTCGTCAAACTATTCGTTGATTCCAGTTGTGCTTTAGATTCAGCTGCGCTCGATGAAAATACATGTTAGAAGCCGTTGATTTCGCACCTGCAACATTTCATCTCGGAATGGTTGGTTCAAGCGCGTGTGCTTTTGTAGGAATGTGTGGCTGAAGCCATGGGTGTTTCAGATTTAGACAGACAAATCGACCAGCTGAAGAGGCGGGGGTCGACGTTCATCATTCAAGCTCGTGCCCGTTAGCACACGTACATTGGCTCTTGCGATACGGAGAAGCTGTAACGGTGAATGTTGAATGTGTGTGCCCATGAGGTGCGAATACATCAAAGAAGCAGAAGTCAAGGCAACCTTGCGACAGAAGCTTGCAAGACGAAAATTCGGATAAGTGTTTTTGCAACTAGGAATGCACGGCTGTAGAGTTGCCATTGCGCAACCGTAAGTGCCTGGAAAGTGCTGCATTTGGTCGAGTACACAGGTTGCAGGCATGTTGTGCTTTTGCATGCGTCAACATTTATTCATCAGGCACTCTGTTCGAAAGCCCGGGAAATCCTCGTTGAGGAATGCAACGTGCAGCGAGTAGATGCGCCTGTCACTGCACGGCTCCCAGCTGGCCAGTTAATCCTGCCGTCGTTTGTTTCCATGTTCACGCATGCGGACCTTTCAACTTTCGGCACGTCTTGGCGTGCTTGTGGATGTTGTTCCAGATTTGTGGCGACATCCATGGGCAGTTCTATGATTTGGTGGAACTCTTCAAGGCCGGCTCCGAAATGCCCTAATCTCCCTTGACCCTTGAGCTGTTTGGGTGCCAGTCAGGTAGGTGGTGATTGCCCAGACACAAATTATTTGTTCATGGGCGACTTCGTGGACAGAGGCTTTTACAGCGCTGGGCCCTCGGGAGCAAAGGGCGAAAAAGACAAGCGTATAAGTAAAAATGGTTATGGTTGCACCCCCGGTTGGTTGGTTTTAAAGTTTAGGTTGTAGGGCTTTAGGGTTTAGGGCTGCAGGGTTTATGCAGAGTTCAGGGTTTAGGGCTTTAGGGTTTTAGGGCTTTGGGGTTTTAGGGCTTTGGGGTTTTAGGGCTTTAGGGTTTAAGGGTTTAGGCTTTGGGGCTTTCGTCTTTATGGTGTATATAGGGTTTAGGCTGTAGGAATAGGGTTTCGGGTTTAGGGTTTAGGGTTTAGGGCAGCTTTAGGGTTTAGGGTTGGTTTAGGAGAGACTACATGAGGGGGGGGGGATTCCATTCGGGGGGGGGGGGGGGAGAACCCCCAGCGCACAACCAAATAAACATAAACATGTTCTTTCCATATGAGCGCCTGCCTTAATTATGTTTGTCTAAGCCAGTACTACGGTGGACACGAGTTGTTAAACCATGAAAAGCGATATGGGCCCCACCTAAAGCGATAACATTAGTTGGCACATTCAGACACATGTATCCGGAGCCCCATAGTATGTAAAGCGATATGGGCCCCACGTAAAGCGACAATATAGTATCCGGCGACCTCGCACTGTGTAACGCAATTTTGTCCGTGGCTCATATATATAAATATGTATGTATGTATATATATATATATCTCTGTGTGTACGCAGAAATATGTATACATAGCATGCTCAGAAGCATGTGACCAAAAGTATTGCCCGCAGTAGAGCGCTCCGAGGTGGAGACCTTCCTGCTGTTGTTGGCGTTGAAGGCGTGTGTACTACCGGCAACACTCCTCGCCTTTTTTTGCTGAAGCACCAAGCTCCTGAAGTGGAGTAGTCTCGTCCCAGGAAGTGCAGTTTCCTGCATTCGGTTTCATCCATGTAGCGAATGACCGCAGGTGCGCTACCCCGACCGAATAACGTTGATTCGGGGCAACCATGAAAGTCGCCAGATAACACAGGCCGAGCAAGTTGTCGGTACGACAGATACTGCACTCCAGTGTTTGTTATGCAAAATCGCCCGTTGAGTTATCCATTCAGACGATGGTTGCAGGTCTACGGATTCTACGATGAATGCCTTCGAAAGTACGGTAGTGTGAATGTGTTCCTTGGCTTACATGTCGTGGCATAGTTTGTGTTTTTGCGAGTCCAGATTTACCAAGTTGCCAGGTGGCGCTACTGCACCGAGATCTTCGACTACCTTGCCCTGGCTGCACTCATAGAGGCCAATTGTGTTGCGTACAGCAGGGTGCTGAGGGTGCTGAGGGTGCTGAGCGGTTGGCTTCAGGTACAGGACTTCCTAGCAAGCTGCATGTAAGAATCGAAGCGCTTCACGAGATGGAAGGATCGCGTGTTCTGCGTCCATGGGGGGCTTTCTCCGGCAATCACGACATTAGACGATGTACGGAGCATCGATCGGAAGCAGGAGGCACCAGAGTTTCTTTGCTTCTGACTTTACCTTCGGCACCCTTCATCGATTCTCGGAGATGGCTGAGACTCCGCGAGGTCCCCCATGAGGGTGCCATGTGCGACCTCATGTGGTCAGATCCCGAGGACACTGGGAAGCTTGTTGCATCTGCTAGCCAGCTTGAAGCATGCCTCGGCAAGAAATCAAGCAATGCCCTCGGATGTGGATACCTGAAGGACCTAGATGGTTGGGGTCTTTCACCAAGAGGCGCTGGTTATCTCTTTGGCGGCGATGTTGTCAGAGGGTTCGGGCCTTACTCTCCGTCTTGACCAACTTGACAGTCATGAAGGCCTGTGTTGTGTTTGCTCCAGCAATCGGTTTGGAAGCAGGCTAAGGCTTTAGCCTTGCAATGCTGATGGATGTCGCAATAAATTTGGTCCCATCCATTCGCCAAGATGTGTGAGTTCTTTGTGCGAACCGTGACAAGGTTCAACCATACCAACGGCATTGATCTCATCGGACGTGCCCATCAGTTAGTCATGGAAGGCTACAAGTGGATGTTCAATGAGGCTGGAACATGGACCCAGATCTTTTCAACCTTATCAGTGCTCGAATTGTGTTATTTCTCTTGGGTGCATGGCTTCATCATGCCCTTGGGTTGAAAACTAGGCTCTGGTGACTGTCTGGTCTGCGCCGAACTACTGCTACCGGTTGTGGCCCCAGAAGGGACACTTCAGAACACTGGCTTCTGTGACAGCACTTTCATTGACATTTTTCCAGCGTGCAGGTGTGGAAACGTGGCTGCGATTCTAGAGTTCGACGAAAACCTGAAGCAGTCTTTCCGAATCTTTGAGGCACATCGGGAATGCTTTGGCTCATTCTAGGCTGCGACTGTACCTGGTTGCACATGCTTCGCCCTTCTTCATGCTTGAGTCTTCATCTTCATACCACGTCCTTCTTTCGCATCCTGCGCCACGACGCAGGCTGCGCCGGCAGATGCGCGGGGCCAGCCCTCAAGAAAACTTGTGCCTGACTACTTCTTGTGATTGGACGGCCTTCCCGCTGCTGGAATGCGCCAGTCCTGTGCCGGGAAGAGCCGTTAAAAACCGAGATGAGATGGATGTTATTGCAATGTCATTGCCATCATTGGTCACTGATATCACTGTAACTCCGCATTTTTTGGAGCATCCTAGGTTTGCCGCAGTGCAGCTTGGCTTTCCATGTAGGTCTTGTTGGGACCGGGAGTTTTGCGCGAATCCTCGTGGCAAGATGCCAGCAAAAGAGGAAGCAGGAGTGAATGGATGCCAACAGCTGCAGAGCCTGCTACTCGTATCCCTTGCATGCGGAGTAGCACTTGCTGCTGATAGCGCCACAGCAGTTCGTTGACACCTTTCACGGCCAACCACTCACAGGTGGACGGTCCTTGACTGCTTTCTCTGACTGGTCATATTCCAAGAAGCGTTGAAAGTTTAAGGTAGGAAAGACTGGAAGAAGGAATGCTTTGGCAGACAATGCCCATTGGAGTACGACCGGAGGAGGAAGCAGGGGAATCAAGATGCGAATATTTTCCGACAAACTCGTTGCTGCTACAGAATTTACTGTAGGAGCAGGCTTTGTCAGACAGGCACCTGCCATGTCGTTGTCCGAAGTCTCTTATGTTCAATCAGGGTCGTTATGCTATGTCCGTACACAGCTGGATGTTGCATCAAGATAACAGTTGGCACATGCAGTGTTCCCTTTTTCTCGTTCTTGGTCTTATGTTGCTTTGCAGAGTTGTGATATGTACCAAGCGGAGCCACACTTGGCCGGTGGGGAAAGGCCTTGTGCTGTGCTCGAAGTAGCTTCCCAGAGAGGAAGAGGCTGTTCTTTGAAGAGTCCTGTCTTTTTGGAGGGCATGGTATTCCACGACAGACTTTAGAGAGGACTCTAGCCTGCGTGCGAAAGTTAGCGAGAAATACGGCCATGCGTGTCAGCTTGAAAGATGCAGCACAAGGTGAGTGATGCAAGGCAAACAAATTCTTACACATCCATCCATGCGCTGAAGCTTGACCGATTTCTCCGGCCGCTGATGCGGGTGTCGCCTGCAAGTTGATGGCCAGACTCAAAAAGGTGGGGTGACTCCTATGCTTAGCTGACCTCAAAACCATGCTTCACGATTGGATGTTGTCGGCCAGAGTGCTGCCAACTTCTGACCTCAAATGTGGTGTATTTCCTGAACTGAAACTTGTAGCCGCGGCAAGTGCTATGGCCTGCACTTTGCCAAACAGCGTGCGAGGAAGTGATCAACCGGATCTCCACATATTGACGGTTTTGACAACTAACTTAACATGCCATCTCTGTTGCTGGGCTCAGCCCTGGGAAACCTGCGGGGTCTCATCTGCCAGATTCTGAGATTCGGGTCTGTGATGCATGCTGCAGCGCTCACTGCGGTTAGCACGAATGTGAAGCCTTGGCAAGGATAGTCAAACGCGCACAAGCATTCGCCTCAGCCTCAGGTCAAAGACTGGATGCATTTCTGCTAGTGCCGTCTTTGTCGGTATTGCATGAGACTCTATTGCACTATACTGTATTTCATCAGGTTGAATCCAACATGCTCAAGCTCGTTTCGATCCTTGTTGTGGGCATGGCCGCCTCTCAGGCGTACCATGGGTACCGCAACTTGAGATTTTTAGTGACCGCAAATGATTGCAACCGATTTGGAAATGACTGGAAATGACTGGAGATGATTGGAGATGACTGCAGGATATTGCGAGATTTGAAAGCTTGGCAGTAAGCACTCAGGAGGAGCTGAGCGCCGGCAGCAGCTCCGTTCTTATTGAGCTGGATGAAAGCGGGAAGCCTTCCATGGCCGGTGCCTGAGCTCCGGATCCTTGGGCTGCAGCTTCTTTGGGTGACTTTTTGAGGTGGAATCTTCGGAAGAGAAGCCCTGGCCGTTAAAAAATCCTCCAAAGCTCCGGTCCAAGCGTTCGAGTTTGAGGTCGGCAAGCGTGCGCAAGGTCTCTTGTGTGTGGGGGAATGCCAAGTGAGGTATGATGATGATGCAGGAGCCTTTGCTCTCTTGCAAAAGACGCCACTTTCTTCGTTCATCCTCAAGAAATTGCTCAGGTCGAGAAGGCTTTGTCGAATGCAAACCTGACCAGTGGCGAGCGGCAGGAGGCTGCTGTGATCCTCCTCGCTCCGAGCTGTGGCATGCAGAATTGCCCTCAGGTTGAGAAGACACTGGATGAGTTTTTGAACAAGTCGAACATCCCAAAGCGACAGGCCTTGCATCAGCAGAGTTGGGCAGATGATGCTTTTCATGTTGCTTTGGGGGCGCCATGGCTCCTGCAAGGCGCTTCTGGTCAGCTACTCAGGCAAGAGGGGCAGGCAAGAATCTGCTGTGGCGGCCAGTGGACAAGAGACATCTTCACCTCCTCTCTGGCATTTTGATGTCCCAGGTCCAGTTGGAGGGCAACCCTCACACCGTTGCCCTGAGGAACCACACAGAAATTGTCACCAAGAAGGGCACGGACCGAGCTGCACTGCACTGCAGTGCAACAGCTTGTTTGGTGCAGCAACTCTTTCAGTGTTTACTTCTCTCATCAGGACCCCAAGCTCAAGGCTCTTAACGACCAGCACGAGAATCTCACCAAGCTCGTCCACGACCAGGCCGGGTTCAGTCGCTTGCGTTGGAGTTCTCTTAGGCATTCTGAATCATTCTGAGGCAGTCCTCAAGGCCAAAAGGTCTATTTTCACAAATGCCCATGCCAAGCACTCCAAGTCCAAGTCCTTAAGGTTGCAGCCCGGAGCTGGGCGCAGTTGAATGAGAAATGTGATTCAAGATCGTCGCCATGCCCGTATCTTATTGTGTACGTCGGGCCCAAGCCAGGCCCTCCCAGAGGGGCTCCCAAGGGCCTCTTGTGGAGTGTCCGTAGTACCAGATGCCACCCATACCCTGCGGCTGAGCAGTGGCTGAAGCTACACGGGGGTCTCAAGGAGGTGGTGGGGCTTCAAGCGTTCTCAAGCGTGTTGGTTTGGCCGTTCTCTGGAGGACGGGTAAGACGAGGGGGGGTTTGTGTCGGGTTGCTGAAGCTCTCCCCAGATGCCTGTCGCAGACCAAGGCTTTTTAACGTGTGGCCACTAAAGTCACTAAACAGATCCTACGACTCCTAAGCAATTCATACTCGTACCACCTCGCAGCTTCACATCCAGATGATCTTGAGCCTTCGTGTGCCCACTGCGCATAGTCTGTTTCTTTTGAAACGCTCAAGGCCTAGACAGGGGCTTTGCTTAAACGATCCAAGTCAACAGCATGTCCAAGAGAGTTTTACGATGCTTTCGCCATCTAAGCCCTGTGCCAGGCAGAAGGCGTGGCTCACACTTCTGCGGTTTTGAGTCGCAACAAGGAGGCACGAAGCGCAGCATTGCCCTCGTACTGGTTTCTAGAAAGGTTCTCGACCTTCTTGGGGCTGACTGCGTGCTTCAGATGGTTCTTGCTGTGACTCATGGTGGGCAGAGCGAAAGTTGCTGAAAAAGCCTGGCGTTCGTCAGGACATGGACAAGCAAGCTGCTGAAGTCGACCGCGTTGCTGACCTCTACAACGCGTCACATGCCGACACGCAGAAAGCTAGAGATGCGTACAAGGCCGGACCGCTGTGACAGGTGACCTTCTTTTGCGGCCCACAGCTTCTTTGCTGGAAGCCCACGGCCCACTTTGCAAGGCTCACTTAGTCGCTCTCGCAGTTGCCAAAAAGCGCCGCGATGACTTGAAGCACAAGGCGGACGACGACAGGTTCTCAGCAAGGCTGCAAGCACAAGAAGCATCAAGCAACATGATCCAATTCACTGCCAAGCCAACCGAACACAGTGGGGGTGCTAAGGCCCGCAAGACACTCGAGCACGTGGTGCCAGAGTACAATGCTGCTGAGGACACTGCGAGCATTTCGAAAGCAGACCAAGGGTAACCAGAGTTTTCGCACAGCAGCCTTGTCGGTTAGTTCGATTGCTCTCCGCTCCCTGGCCTTGCAGTACAAACTTGGCATCCTGATGTCGCAGACGCCGTGGTTGAAGGCAGGAGGGATGCACAGGCTATGACTCAACGACGCTTTTGGGCAGCGAAGCAGGACCATCAATGTTTGAACTTGTACTTGTCCTGCCCAGGATGAAGCGAAGAAGAAGGCAGACGAAGAGGGCAAGAAAGCCGACGACCTCGAGAACACTGTCAAGAAGAACCATGAGATGCAGGCTGATTGCCTCTCCTCACCTCTTTCTGGTTCGAGCCAAGAAGCTGCAACATGTTCACGCTGTGGCGTGGGCAGGACAAGCTGAACGGAGACGACAAAGCCTTGCAGGCACAAGCATATGACGAGCAGATCTTTGAAGAAATGCTCACAACTTGGCACCCAGGAAGCCATCTATAAGCTGAACGGTCTCAACTCCGACCTGAAGCGCATCGAGGCTCGGGGTCACCTCGGGGTCCTCAAGAGGGCTCTTGTGTATTGAGTATTCTACGAGTGCCAATATGTGAGCCGCTTCAGGACAAGATTGAGCACTACAGCAGCGCTCCTGCGTTGGCACCTGTGCCCGTGCTTTTGGCGCTCCTCCTCGGTAGCTTTGCTTGAGAAGTTTTTTGAGTCCCCGAGTGTAGGAGTATGAGATTGAGAGCAGACAACTCTCCGATACCTTGTGTACGACGCCTTGAGGCCAAATCTGAGCTCGGACTGAGCAGGCGACTTGGGGAGGGAAGGCCACCCTCAGCCAATCTCTTCATTAACACCTGCGCAGTCGGGAAGAAAAAGGAGCGCTTTTCATGTTTTGAACTCACATTCTCCTGATGTCGTGACATATAACTTTCCATCATCAAAAGGGCATGGCAAAATATTTACAGATTTGTGAGTGTGTACTGATGGGAGGCGTCCTCTTCCACATCTCTCTCCATTCCGCAGCTGTTAATAGGTTTAAAAATTTGGGTGTGTGCTGCATCCAGTCTGTTTTCCAAGAGCTGGCTTCGACTTCGATGCCACCGACAGCACGGGAGGCGTGGCGGTTTTTCGACAGTGAGTCAAGCTGTTGAAGATGCACTCCGTGTGGTAGGCTGCCAGAACGACAGCTTCGTCACGCAGGTGCCATTCCATGAGAACGTGGAGTGTTGGCCAATCTTGTTTGTCGTTTTTACAATGTTGCAACTATCTAGAGACCACGTGATGATGTATGATGATGGATGCAGGAGCATTCGGGGCAATGTGCGGAGCCTGGTTTGCTCCTTTGCTGTTGGGCAGATATGCCCAGATCACTGCAGGCCCTAGCGGCCCTCGCTGCTTTGCTCTTTACCACTGCAACAGTCTTTGTGCCTTCTCCTCAGCATTTCAGGACAGGGATGTCTAGTCTACGCGTGCAACGCTTTCAAAGCAGGAACTTTGATCCTAGAGCTGGCGGCAGAGAGTCCCAACTTCTGAGACACGCTCGCATGCCCCTGCCTTGGTTGCAGCAGCGCTTACGTGGCCCAGCCCTTGTGTGGGAAGACGGTACCAAAGTGTACCAGCACGTTGCGATTCGTGTTTTGCATTCCAGTACACCGGAATCCCCCTAGCAAGGCCAAACTCAAAGCAAAAGAACATGTCCGCTCTCCCTTCTGAACCCCAGCCCAAACCCCTCTCAAGCCCCTTGCCACCCGAATCCCAACCCCAAACTAACCCCCTCCAGAAGTGGCCAAGCTCCATACCTCCATACCCGAAGCGTGCTGGGCTCACTCTCAGACTCTACGGATCGCTCCTCTTTACCATCATTTTGGGCTTTGCGCTTCGCCTTGTTTCGGTTTGGTTTTAGACATGTCGCTGCAGGCGGCGGCATTTTGAGAAAAGTTACATCAATCGAGCGGATGTCACACTGTCCATCACTGTCCTAGGAGTCCAGCTGCCGTGCAGTCCAACGATCTGGAGTGCGCAGCTTATGCTTGTCACATCTTGTCACATGATCTGATGCTTTGCCGAATAGGCTATTCGTGGCTGCTGTCTTCACCTCAATGCAGAACCTAAATGGAGAGGTACATGCCCATGAAAATGGCCAGCTTTGCCACGGGCATTCTGAGACCCTTCTTCGTCGTTCAGGCAAGCAGAGGGACAGTGAACAGCTTGAATTTCATGTCGCCCCTCAGCTGGGTGACGACCTATCTCTTTGCAACTTCGACCGGCCCTTTCCCAACCGGGCACCTACATAGTCTCGAGAAGCGCTGCTGTGCCAGCTGCATACACTCACCCTAGAGAATAGTGCAGACGGTGCTGAAGGCTGAAGGGGTCCGGGTCCCTAGGTCGTCATCATTTAGACAGGCACATGTCTCATGTGCAATGACGTTCCGGCTCACGGGAGCCACTTGCTTTTGCAGCCACGTGAGGAGCCTTCCCCACCAAAACTGAAACCGGATGGATCCGGCACTCCCAGCGATGTTATGACCTCTCTTCTCGCACCAATCGCTCCGCATGCTTGATTCGCATGTCTACATGTGAGTCTGCGGCCAAACTCATCAGTATCTCACGGTCCAAGCTTTTCAATCTTGGCGAGTTCTGCGAAAATATTAGGAACACGCAAGAGTCCAAGCCCCCATTGTCCCTCAGTCCCTTTTTGAGCAGCCAGTGCCACCTGGCAGAAGTGACAGAAGCTAGCCAATGATGGCCATGCTGTTATTGGGCGACCCTTGAGGCAGCGATCCAGGCAGGACGCTATGACAAGTGGTCTGTGCGCGCCACGATCGAAGCTGACATCAAGTCCGCCTTTCCGGCCTGGCTATTGTGTAAATGCGATGCCCCCTGCGTGCAAAGCAATTGTCGTTCTGTGGCCAATGGAATTTCTGTGGCGTTTGCCAGGCACCTGTGGTGATATACACCTACGAGTGGTCGCCTTTCTCAGCAGAGGTGGAACGGTGGAACGTTGCCGCCATTGCCGTGACAGCTTCCGACAGCTTATGAAGCTGCAATTCCAGCTGCCAGGCAAAGAAGCTGCTGGACTCAGTAGGCGCCGACTATACAGAGGCGAGACAAGTGCAAGTGATATTTCGGAGGAAAAAGCCGCTTGCTCCCATGCGACCTGTCAGATTTCCCTCGGCTACGAGTGGTTCCTGGCCACGCCCGAGCAAGCTGCAAAACGTGCAGAGTGGCTCGGCTTCTCTGGCAGAGCTCCTGTGCTGTCAGCTTGTTGCCACAGAAGAGGGGAACATGCTACAAACCATGAGGCAGGAATATTTCTAAACAGTAAGCGGGGCCCAGCTGTGTGACTTCCAGGCTTGGTGCGCTGTATGGGCGCACTCCTCAGCTACCCTCAGCTACCCTCAGCTATCTGGGTCTGTCAGCGTTTGGGCGTGGCATGGTGTGGCACGACAGGCGAACCAGCATGCCTCATGTCTTCATTGGTGGCAAAAGCGTGTGGCACTCGGTGCATTGTGACTTAGGCATGTTCGGCATGTTGGTCTTGAAAGCATGGGAGAGCAGTTGAAAGCTTTTGGTGTGTTTGGTGCTTTGCTCACAAGGTCGGAGGACTTATGGACGGGGACCCAGGCCTTCGGCCCAGGTTTCAGCAGTTCAAATGAATACGGATGCTGGAAGAAAGCGTGGAACTGGAGTTTGCATGAGGCCTCGTGCCCTTGAAAGAGACGGGAGAGCTGGAAGACAGTTTGAAGCAGGCCCTGAAAGATCGCTCAGTCTCGCTCGCTTCCTTCGAACGCCATCGCCGCGAGCCTTGTGAACAGCAGGCCGGGGCTCTGCCAGACGAGGGCCTCTTCGGCTTCTTCTTGTATTCAGGCAAGCGCAGAGTGCAGCAGAGTGCCCTGACACGCTTTCTAACAAGTTTCGGCAGGTGATCATCAACCATGATGCTTAGCTTCTCGTTCGTCCTGAATCTGGGCGCCGTAAAACTTTTTGAAGCAGGGGTACAAGGCCAGCAGGAGCACCAGGAAAGCTGTGCTTTGGTCTGATGAGTGGTGACAATGTGCCCATGTTATTTTGTTCTGGAGAGGCAAAACTTGCTTCGAGTGTTTCACCACCTCATCGGAGACCCTGCGTTCTACTGCACTTTCATTGTTGAGAAGTTAGTCTGCAGTCTTCAATCTTAGGTTTGGTTCTTTGAAGCTGTTTTTGTGCGTGCTCCGTCGGATCATTAGGAAGCGTGCCGTTTCCTGTCTCACCCCCTGTCGCGTTGGCTGCAGAAGCAGTTGTCTTGTGCCAGTTCCTCAAGCCATAGACCCAGCAGCTCCAGCCAACCATGACCATATTGTGCTCTCGTGAGCCTGTGAGCAAAAATGGAAGGACGTGGCCGGAGGAGGGTTTGGGTGAGTTGTATGGGCTTTGCAGAGCGCGAAAAGGCTGAGCAGCGGGCCTTGGAGGAGGGGTTCTCTTCGTGGTTCAGCTGCAGCTCAAGCTCTGCGCTTAGAGTAAGCATGGCTCTCGAAGTGAAAAACCAAAAGCCAAATCAGTTCAAAGAATCTTGACCTCTGAACAGTCTGCCGTGCCATGCGTGCTGCCATCAGCGCGACGCGTGTTTGCGCCGAGTCGCTCCCAGGCCGGTCAACCTTTCAGTTGCCCGGGGAGCTTTTAACGATGAGTTTAGGTTTGCGATTGGGCGTTGTAGGTATGTAGGGCTTCAGGGCTGTGGAGGAATGAACAGTTTCGGGTTCAGGGCAGGTCAGGGAGGTATTCACCATAACGCAAGCTAGGTCATTTTGTGGGGTTTGCAGGAGCAACCCGGACCAGCGCTGCTCCGTGGTTTGAATCATTCTCCTCGCGTGTTGGATGTTCAGCGTGTCTTGCTGGATGTTTGGGGTATTTGTTGTGGTATGTGATGGTGTTTTTTCATGTGCTTGGGTGTGTTTGGGACCCCCGTTCGCGAGGCTTGCCGCATGGACTCGTCGGTCTGACGGCCGCAGGCTTAGAGCATCTTAGAGAATCTTAGAGCATCTTAGAGCCTTCTGTGCCTTCTGGAAGCTTAAGTGAGGGACATGGTGAGGGACATGGTGAGGGACATGTGATGAAGCTGCCTTTTGCCAAGGCTCCGCTGCAGGTGCGGTGGGCAAAGAAGGGCAACAAGCGGAAGAAGCAGCCCAAGCGCGCTGACCGCACGGAGGAGCAGAAGGCAAGAGCCGAAGAGTTCTCCAACAGAGACTTTGACATGATTGAAAAGATTTCAGAGCCCATGTCAAAACCATGTGAGGGCCATCTTTGTGAACTCTAGGCAGCCAGCAGTGGTCCGAGAATGGAGCGGATTTTCGACAATGTGATGCATCCGGTCAGGGCCCTGGCCTAGGCTGGCTCGCCTCGTTTTCCTGGGGCGACAGAGTAGGTCTTGGTTTAGCAATGGTCATTCAGCATTGAGCGCTTTTCACAGTTGCTTCATGGGTTGTAAGGAGAGCCCTCACCAAATGAGCATGGTGATTCGGCGCCATATGCGTGGCTTGACATCCGATGGCTGGCACCTTAGTATTTGGGGCAGATACAGAGCCATCCTCCATCATCAGATGTCATCACTTTTTGCGGCGCAGCCGTTTTCGCACCGTGGAATCACGTTTAGGGCTGGCCCTTCAAGCCCCCCGTGAAAGCCAGCGTTGAAGGCTTTTGGGCTCTTGGAGAGTTTTGGGGAAGGTTTGGAGGTACTGGTAGCGAGCCGTTGCTCATTGCTCCTTGAGTGTGAGGCTTTTCATGGTTTCCGAGGTCGGCACAACACCCGACGAAAGAAGGCCTTCTGAGGAATCGGCAGTCAACGCTCTTGCGGAGAAGAGCTGCAGGATCTGTCGCGCTACACCAACTACCGGGTGCTCAGAATAGCTGGGTCTGGGCCCCGGTGCTTGGTGCCACAAGCATAAGCAGATCACCTGAACCTTTCCTGGTGGCAGGCTGACCCACGACAATCCAACAGAAGAGGTCAACAGGTTAGGCTTCCTGACGCCCCTCACTGACCTGCAGGACATGCGCAACGTGATGTGAATGAACTGTGATTGACGAAAAGCCACAAGAAGACATTTGCTTTCAAGATCAAATGGAAGCTCTGTTTAGGGCTCGAACGGCCCAGGACTCCTCAAACCTGCCCCGCTCGGCGAACCACATTCGCTTCAGATATCCTCACACCCTCAGCTACAAGGCCGCATTTCTTTGTCACTTTTTTAAGAAGTCACATACGGCATTGTCTTACGGCATTCGCGGGGAGGTCTACTGGGGGCCCCCGACCGTCTACGACGTGCCCAACGAGTCTTCGACTCAACCTTTGTGTGCTGACAGGCTGCACGGTGCACGACGGCTTCCGGACTTTTTTGCAGGTATGAAGGTTCGATGGTTGGATGCACCGTGGCAGTCGCGCCCTTTCCACGTTGCTCCGGCCAGGAGCGCTGAGTCCTTAAGTCCTTAAGAGTCTTAGTGAGAAATTTGCAGAGGTTCGGCTTTGCGACCTGCCGCTTACACAGAGGCAAAGCTGCCCCCATCCCCCAACCCCCCCTCCCCCACGGATCTGTGGGGACTTCCATGGACTTCCACAGTACTTCCACGGACTGCCAGGCAGAAGGAACGTCTGGTGGACATTGTCGGCCATCATCGAGTGTGCGAGGCGCCCGCCAGCTTTGCAGCTCCACTCAGCGCTGCTAAGAAACAAAAGGAGAGAAAGTCGAGGGCTATAGTAGAGGCTAGTACAGGGCTAGTACAGGGCTAGTACAGGGCTAGTAGAGGGCTAGTAGGGCCCATAGGGCCGTGGTAGGGCTTAAGTGGCTTCGTGCATTCTCGGCCAGAAGACCGGCGTGCTCACGCTGGAAGCCGACCACTTTCCGGAGAGGCCGGGGGGAAGATTCCATGGGACGATTTCATTTTGTTTACACCCCTTTCGCATGCAACACTGAAGTACAACACTCTGAGGGTTTTTTAGCCACGCCACGTGGTCGGAGCAAACTCCAGGAACCACAATGCGGCTCTCCTGGGAGACATGTTGGAGCAGCTCATGCGAGAGGCGCGTTTCTAGCCTTCGTCCTCTGCCTTAGGGGCGGAGGCCTCTTCCAGGTTGTCCTGTTGCAAAGTCTTTGTGTATGCAACATCAACGGTATCAAGCACGTAGCATCGAAGTGGAGATGGCTGGGGGAACTGACCGTGCATGACATGCGTTTTCAAGAAACGTTTGCGACACGAAGCGGAGGCATCGGCCCAGTGTGCATGTCTTTGCGAAGCTATGTTTCCTGGGGAGGGGTCGTCTGATCAACCCCGTGCAAACGTGAAGTGATCGTGCACAGAATCGCTTGAACAACGCGTGTATTCCTGCACACGACTTGATTGAACAGTGGGCATGCCACGCAGTCTTTAGTCACATAAACTCCATTCAAGCATTGTCAAGCACGTGATGCCAGAGAAGTCCGTCATCTTTGGACACTCATGGTCATGAAAGTGTCGTACACAGGCGATGCTGGCGGACGAGCAGAACCCTGCCAAGAGCCTCAACATTTTTGATTCTACGGCTTCGCGTGCAGTCATGGCTTTATGCATTGCCCATGATCCAAGGCTGTCGAGTGAGCACTGGTGCTTTTCTCTTGTACAAAGATGAAAAAGTTCGCTCCATGCCAAAAAGGCAGCAGGAGCTTAGAAGATGGACCCCTCAAAGAGTGTTGGTAATCAGGGTGCAAAAGACAGCGCGCTTGTGATGTGCACCTGTATCAAGATTGCTGAGGAAAGGTTGCTGGAGCTTGGAAGAACCTGACATTGGCCCGTTTCTGCAAGTGCCGTAGGCTTGATCTTGGGTTGGTCAGAAGCTCACATGGTCATCAAGCATGTCTTCGCGGATGTGAGAGGTTGGAGGGTTTGCAGTGACTGCTTGCATGTTGCCAATTTCCCTCTGTCTCCCACTTCTGTCTCCGAAGCGTGCTGTTGAACCTCCGTCTCATAGTCCTGGTGCAGCCCCACCATGTACAGTTCAAGTTTACAAGCCTCCCTTTTCCTCACGCAGCGTGCCGCCTTTGTATCCGGGCCAGCATCTGAAGTCCGGCAATCGTAGAACACAGTTCATGTCACTGCAGACCGTTTCTTGTTGCTTCTTGATCTTGTCAGGACGCTGCAGTAAGGGCAGAGGCAAGGCATGGCGGCCTGCTTTTGCAAAGTCAATCGCGCAGAGTCGTGCAGGTCGTTCCACTGCAAGTTCTGGATACCGGGTGGGGTGCCGGTGCACTCCAGCACTCCAATTCAATCGTCAAGGCCATCCTGCCGTGGCAGTCGTGAGGCTGTGTGAAACTTTTGTGTGAACCTGAAGGTAGCTCTGTCTGCGGATGGGGCTTCTTGTGGGTGCTCGTCATGGCAAAGATGTTGCTGTGATGGAGGCGCCGTCAAGTGAACGAAGTGCATGTGCAACTGTCGGCCTTTGAGGAATACTTCTCGGACAAGGCCGCGACCGAAGAGAGAGGGGAACTGCGTGTGGAGAGCACAAGGAAGATGTGTAAAGCTGTTGAGGTGGTTTGGGTCACGGGAGCGTCTGCTGGCTTTGGAGAAGCACTCTGCATTGCTCTCTGTCAAGCCGCCCATGGCCCAGACGAATCTTACGGACTTCTGGATGGACTCGTCCAATCAAAAATGCTGGACCGCTGAAACACAGGCGAAGCCTGGGGGGCTAATCCTCAGCGCTCGCCGAAAGGACGAGCTCGAAAGGGTCAGGCCTGGGCGGCTTGTTGGTTTTTGTTGGGTGTTGCTGCGTTTGTCGAGGGTGCTGTGAGGGTGCTTCAGTGGTGCTTCTGCAGCATCGGGGTCCCCTCACGACCCGTGCAGGTCAAGATGTCTAGAGCTTCTTCCTGGCCTGAAGACAGAAGTGGGGGGCCACGGCAAGAGGCATGCGAGGGCACGCGGAAGGTGTGTGATCTGTCACCTTGAGGTGCTGCCCCTGGATCTGTCGGACCTCTCGAGGTTGCAGTGTGCTGCCGAGCAAGCGAAGGGCATCCGGGATGGCAATGCATTCGGTGGCCTTCGTTGCCTTTTTGGGCAGGCTTCAAGTTGCAAATGTGGCTAGTGTGGAATGTCACACCAGCATTGGCTTGCAGAGGGTGGCGGAAAGGCTATTGCATGTGTCTGGGGTTCAAGACTTGCCCACGACGGCATTTAAAAAGTAACATGTCTTGATTGTCTGACATTGCCTGCAGCATCTGAGGTCTTTTTGGACGTGTAGATGTCCTCGTGAACAACGGTGGGGTCGGATTTAGAGGCCTCGGGCAGGAGACGTCAATCGAGGCGAGTGATTGTGGACAGGTTGACATGTGCTCAGTCATTCGATCTCAAGACTTCATCCGAATTCTTTGATCCCTTGCAAAGACGGACCAGCACGTGATGAACGTGGACTTCTTTAGTGGCGTGGTCTTGCTGAAAGCTCTCCTTCCAGATTGGCTCAGGAGGCCTCGCAGCACGAGCGCTAATGTTCCGGGGTCACTGCTTCTCCCATCAACAAGAAGCTGTCTGTAGCGGGGCTGTCGAAGCCCATCAGCTTTTGTTAAATTCAAATCATGTGCCGATCGTTTGCAAGTATGATGTGCTGGCACTTCATGCTACCTGAGAGGCAAAAAGGCCATGTCGTGCAAATCTCCTCAGTGCAGGCCATAGCTCCGGATGGGAAACAGGAAGGTAGTGAGTGGCAAGTCGTGACGTCAGGGCTTCTTTGGCTTGCCTGGTCGAACGGCCTATGCAGCTGCAAAGGCCTGTGAGTGGTGTTGGCCTTCGCAAAAGAACCTGAATGCCTCGAGCTGTGCCCTGCTGGCAGCACGCTGCCGTCGGCTTCTATGACTCTCTGCGAGCGGAAGTGGCTGACAACGGCATAGCTGCATCCTGGCTGTGCATGCGCCATGCCCGATGGCCGTCCTTTGCACCTTTGGTACAGCCAAGGTAACCACCGTCTGCCCAGGATACATAGCACTGATCTCAACATCTCAGTCACTACGCGGCCCGTGTGTAACATGTCCATGTCCATGTGCCCAAGGCGACCGAGCACGCGCGCAACGCCGCCAGAAGTAGCGGAGTGCAGGTCGACCAGGAGATCAAAGGCGCTGCTCTCAGAGTAGTGCTCTGCAGCGTTCTGCAGCACTGTTCCTGCGGTTTCTTCTCATCCTCCCTTCTCCGTCCTCACCCCCTTCTCCCGCTCTCTGGTGCCCAAGCAAAGTTCCGTGAAATTTCTCTCCAAGAGTTGTCGCGAGGCTCTCTCTGATAGGGCCTCTTTCACAGGTGTGGCCCCGGACGTCTTGGCCCCCAAAGTCTTGGTGGCGATCGCGCGACGGAAAGCGGAAATGGCTTGTCCTGCGCTTTTTGGGGCTTTGCTTTGCTTTTGCTTGGGCATTGGCCTTGGCCTATGCTGCAGCTCTGGGTTGGATGTGGCAACAAGTGCGAGAGCAAGTGAAGCAATGAGTTTGGCCACTTGCTTTCGTGTTTGCGCGGCAAAGCCAGGTCCCTGCTGCACTGGATGCTCGCGTCGCGCGCTTGCTGCGCACCCTCTTTCCGACGTTGTTCTTCTCCATCATGCGCAGGCGCTCCTGCAACTTCAAGCCTGGAAGTGGACCCAAGCCGAAATGAGCCTCATTGCAAGGTCGAAGCTGTGAAAGTGGGCAAACTTTGTTGTAAGCCACCAGCCCAGAGAGCCCTGAGCTCGCCCTCTGGTTGTTTCGTGACTGCCGCTTGTGCTCAGGCTCTGGAAGGTGAGGAACCCCCTGGCTTCCAAAGCTTCAGACTTTGCCAAAGATTTCAGCAAAGCGTGCTGAGTCGAGGCAAACAATAGAACAGAATGCACGAGTGTTGTTGGTGAGAGTGTGCTGGACCGTGTGTCTCTTTGTGTCCTCAACAGCTACCATGAGTCGTACGCAATGCATGTGATGTATGCAGTGCATGCAGGTAAGGCAGGCATGTAGTCCATGTAGTACATACAGCGATATGATAGCGCATGTAAGTATGTAAGTATGCAATGTAAGATGTGGTAAGGTGTGGTAAGGTAAGAGGGAAGGCAGGTTTCGGTAACATGTTCATACAACGGTCTGACATACACATCCATCATGCCTACCTCCTGGTTGGGAACCTGCATTTACGACTTCGAAAGGAAATAGTTGAATTGTTCAGTGTTGACTAGCCAAGGGCCCGATAACACGTCGCATAACAAACTTGCGAAGCCAAGCGGATGCATTCTTCAGTTCATGCAGCAGCAGCAGCAGCAGCAGCAGCAGCAGCAGCAGCAGCAGCAGCAGCAGCAGCAGCAGCAGCAGCAGCAGCAGCAGCAGCAGCAGCAGCAGCAGCAGCAGTGCTTTTCTGGTGCTAGTGGATCCGAAACCGACATCACAACGTACACACAAGCACTACATCTCAAGGTGCCCAAAGTGGTTTGGTTTGTTTGGTTCGACAGCCACGTCTGAACTTCGTGGGTTCCAGCAGGAAGACTGCATCTCCATCACTGGTATTCGTTTGTGTTTGTGACAAGTACTTTACCTGTCCGGTGCAGGTTTCTTGTTTCGTTGCCTCGCGATGTGATAGAATCGTGTGGGGTCCGATCTTGAGAAGCTCGACTCATCAAGCCTCAATCCATCTTAAACGAGGGCTATCTCTCCAACCATAAGAGGGCTTTTCGGCTTTTCTACCGAGAGCCCGGAGGCCACTTTGAATGCAAGCGCGTCCTGCTCTGGTAGAAGTGGGCCCAGCAAAGCCTACCGACAAGCACCGCCACCCTGGACCTCAAACCAAGCAAAAACCTCGGTACCTCTCACAAACCAGCCTTGAAGACCCAACCCTGAGAAAAACTTCTAGCCATGACTACTCATGACTACCATGATTTGCAAGAGAGCCGAACCCTTCGTGAGAAAGATTTCGGGATGAGCTTGCCGCCATGGTTTCCGCATTGGACTTCCCGCGAGGAGCTGTCAAATGTGCCATCACTGCCGTGTCCAACTGTCGCTCTCCAGCAGTCGCGTGTGGCTGGTGCCCCCCTCCGCTCACCAGGACATGGTGCCGCTTCACTGTGAATTGCGGAGGCTCCGTGTATTTCCCTCAACGCAGGGCTTGCAAATGTGTTCAAATGTTGAGGTTTCATATGTCCCAAGCTTAGGGGACTCCTGCAAATTCGGTTCAGTGGCGATGTAGCTTTTTGGACACGGATTTCCATGCGGAGCCCTCTGGATCCCGATGGCAGGTAGCAGCCATGGAGGCAATTGCCTTCGCACTGCAGCTTGATGGCGAGGACAGCCCCTCATTAGTGTCAGTCAACAGAGTTGCACAAGTTAGACTTACGGTTCATGCATTCTGCATTCTTGCTCACACTGGGAGCCAGATCTTGACTCGGCAGCAGATGCTTTTAGGACGAGGTCCACTGTGAGTTGCAGCTCGAGGGAGACGAGGAGCACACGGTGGCTCAGCCCTCAGGTGATGGTGCAGGTCAGGAGCCGCCTCCTTTCAACCCAGAGGACAGTGCTAGAACAGTAACCTGGTGATCATGCAAGTTCTGGCAACAGCTTGGCTGGATTCTGGCACAGCAAGCCCGATTGCAAGGCCAAGATCGGCCGATGCCCGAAGGGCAGCATTGTGCCAAGCTTAAACCATATTTGCGGATTTCAGGATTCCTGGCTCGGTTTTGGTCTTCGTTTCGCATATTGTTCTGCAATGCGCTGAAAGACTCTCAAAGTCAGGTTGTCAATCACCTCGGTGTCTCCTGGGTCCACACGGAGCTTCGTTTCCTTCGGCGAGAGGGAGAGGCATGTAGGGTTCGAGAGACTCTAAATCCTAAGCTGCCGAGAACAATGTAGGGCTCTGTTTCTCAGGCTGAACCACAGCTTTGTGTCCGGGACGTGTCTGCTAATGGAACCGGCCTTCAAGACGAAGGCTGGATGTTGCTCCCGCGAGTTTGGCGATTGGCTTTTGCTTTACCGGATCACAAGTTGTGTCAGGAGGAAGTGAGGAGGATGTGCTGTGGCTTCAACGCAACGAAGATGCGTCAGCTGCTTTGTGTTGCAGAATGAGAGCAGCACTGATTGACTCTTGGAGCCGAGCAGCATGACAAGGCCTTTTGCTGAGGGAAGGCAGATCGTGCTGCCACAGAAAATCAAGAGCAAAGCTGGCCGGCCAGAGGTGGGTTCTTCTGTCTCCAGTCTGGTTGGTGGGTGGTTTACTTACCAAGCCTTGCCGCGCTTCTGCTACATCTGCATACAATGAAACGTAGGCGATTTGACTAGCCATAAAGGTGAAGGTGGCGCTGTAAACCAGAAGATCGTAGGCCAAGCGCTGGCACAGGCGAACATTATGCCGGCGTACAGTCAAATCCTGTAGCGGCTCAGTGAAGCATCCTCTCAGCACCTTGAATACGTCCTTTATTACTTCCTAGCTTGGAGAAGGACCTGAGAAGGAGATCCCAGCTATTAGAAGCAATAGTCACGCCGAGATTTTTTAAAAAGTGCGAAGCCTGAAAATCAGTGAGCTGGAGGAATGTTATCGAGACTTGCAGGAGATCTTACCTGGAAGTACATGAGTGTAGAGAAAAAGCGCCAAGACAAGCCTAAACGTTTTCCACCGAGCATGGCACTGGCTGACTGAAGAAACATATCGACCTACTTTCCAGCTCAAGCATACGGCATGAACAAGTAGTCACGAAACGCACCATGAATGGAAGCAGGCCTGCGACCTATGCATTTGGGGAGTGCATATATAAGCGACTTCGGATCAGCTTGTGACTGGTTTGCGTAACCAAAGGTATGAACCATGATGTCTTGCATTGTATGCTCCGACATGGGCGAGGGCTTCGCCAACTAGTCATGAGGTTGTGCTACGTCGCTTGCTTTCAAGGACTCCGTGCGACGGACCATAGGCCTTCGCTTCACCAGCGAGGAGGAGGCAGCCAATGCAAGGAAGATACGAGAAGAAAAGGCAGCCAAGAAAAAGAGACGTGCTGGAAAGAAGGACCCCGGACCCTTCTGCCCATCTCCAGGCTTGTGCTGATGGGGTGCGGGTTCGCGAGGAGGAAGCAAAAGCAAAGAAGAAGGAGAAAGAGAAGGAGAAGGAGAAGGAGAAGGAGAAGGAGAAGGAGAAGGAGAAGGAGAAGGAGAAGGAGAAGGAGAAGGAAAAGCAGAAGGCTCCTGACTCTGCCCTGGGAAAAGATCATGGGCGAAGCTTGCTCACTTGGTCACAGCGATGTGCCACGAATATTTTCGAGCAGGAGCCCGAGAAAGTCTCCAAGCCGGAGGAGAAGACCCCAGTACAGCCTCGAAACAAGGACAAGGCGCAAACGGCTGACTTGCCAACTGATTGTTTCCAAGTCAGACTGATGATGCCAGGATGACGAAGGTAAGTCCGAAGCAAAATCCTCACAGAAGAAGGTCAACAAGGAGAAACGAGCCGACGCTTGGGGAGGGTTCGGAGCGGTGGTTCACTTGCAGCTCCTCCTTTCCATCTGAATCTCTTTCAGTGTTCTTCGGCCTTTCCCTTCTCGGTTCTTCCAGTTCTCTCGTTGTTCAATGCTTCAGGGCTACGCAAATTTCCGTCATGTCTGCCCAGTTCTAGAAGTTCCGACCCAATGTTTCCTTGCGAGATTGGGGGGTTACAACACTTGGGATTGGACCATCTTGTTCCTGCTCGTTCAATTGCTCGGGGCTAGAAATTTGGGCTCCCAGTCCAACGCTTCCTTTGTCTCATTTTTGGCGACTTCATACCGTCATCTTGGGGGGTGCGTGTATATAAGCGAACGGGTCACCAGAACATGTGAATGAGTCAAGAGTTCGTAGCTGTGTGTGCAGGATGAGGAGAAGCCTGCGAAGAAGCCTGCTCAGTACCGAGCCTGGTTCTTGCAGCTATGCTGCGGCAGCTTGTGGCATCAGGGTGTCTCCATGCTTGTGTTGCCAGGAAGGAGAAGAAGGAGAAGCCCAGCAAGGAGAAGGATGGAAGCTTTTGCTGTGTACACATGATCTTCCCAAGCTCCTGATGTGGTGAGCGTGATCCAGCCAGGACAAGCCAGCTGCAAAGCCGGCGAGGTCCAGAAGCAGAGATGGAAGGACTGGGATGCAGCATTTTCTTTGACGCAGTGCACTACGTTGGTCGATCCTGTTCCCGTTGCCACCCCCTCCCCACCCCTCCCCCACCCCCTCCCGACCCCTAGAACAGTGCCCAGGAAACAGAAAGTCAAGAATGGCGTCGGACACTCAAAGGGCAGTTTTGTGGCACGCAGGTCATTGCCAAGAGACGTGGGGTCACAAGTCCAGCATGTCTTGAATGGATTCGCCAGTGGAACATGTCCTACGATCTAACACGCAATTGCCGATCCTCGCGTATCATGTTGAGCTGTACAAACGTGCAGCATCCAAAATACTTGGCTAAACCACCTGGGAAGCATCAGGGCGAACTTGCCCCCCGAAGCCTTCATTGCTGGGTTTCTGAAGGCCTTAATATCCTTAATCAAGTGTTTACATTTCCAGTGGTGATCGCGCTTGGCAGCGTTCGTGTCTTGCGGGACTGCAGACGCAACATGTCAAAGCCGACGGTGAAACGGTTTGTGAAAGGCATGTGAGTAGAGCAGTGTTCCTATAAAAATCAAGCTCGATGACTGGGGGAGTCCGATATCGTTCTCGATGCCCGAATGCATATGCAAAACTTGCTTCGACACCACACAGGTGGGCGCGGAAGATGACCGTCAGCATCAGCAGCTGGGCCGCATCAGACCTTTCGTTTTCTGCCATCTCCCCGCTTGATTGCACTGCGTGTTCCAGAAGTCACTCGAGGACGGGCGTGGTCGAGGATGAGCCGGCGGTGCCCAACCCCGGAGATTTGCCAGTGCTTTGCCAGAACTCTCCCAACAATCCCCCAAATCTGTCATGTCCCCAGGTGCCGGTCAAAGCGGCTCCAGCCGCTCCAGCGGCTCCAGCGGCTCCAGCGGCTCCCGTGGCTGAAGCTGCTCAAGCGAAGGCGGCTGAGGCCCCTGTGGTCCCTGTGGTCCCCGTGGTCCCCGTGGTCGCGGAGCCTGAGGCGCAGGAGGCAGGGGAGTTCTCTTCGACGCCACCATCCTCGCGCTCTGTTCGAAGCAGTGTTTTGCAGTTTCTCACACGCCATTTCTGACCTTCCGGATAGGAGCCGAAGGAGGTGATCGCTGCGGACCCGTCAGACAAGTCTGATGAGGACCCCTAGAAGGTTCGAAGGGCGCTTTAACTTCAGGAAGAGCTGGCGGGCTATTGATGGCCATGGCAATGGGCACCATCTCAGGGTTTAAAAAAGGCAGGGAGGGGGCGAAGACGGGCGAAGCAGGGCTTAGCACTGACATTCTGAGATCCGTCAAGGACGTGGTGATGGTCACAGAGACGGCGGCGGCTCCCGCAGCTCCAGAAGCCCCACAAAAGCCTGAAGCGTCAGCGCAGGACTGCAGGCTTTGCAGAATCTTGCGGCTGTTTTGCAGAGTTTTGGCTTGTGCTCAAAACAGGACCTTGCGGAGCCAGATCATTCCATGCCTTCACTGCCAGCTTGGGTGAAAGAAGGCTGAACGGAGAAGATATACTTGTGCTTGGAAGTAAATACAGAACAGAAGAAAGAACACACGCCCGAACTCACATGAACATACCATTCGAACAAACTGGCGAAGACTTCAGAAACAGTTTAAGCGCCACCGTGCAAACGTGATGTCAAGACATGTCAAGACGCAGCCGCGGCACAGGCAAGCGGTGCAACTGGTTCTCAGCGTCGCTGAAGCGGCTTGTTCCAGTGAGAGTCACCAAAGTGGATCATGCTAAGTCCAGTACTGAGAATTTTTTTGCGATCTTGTGGGGTGGTCTCGGGAGTCGCCTTGGGCCGGAGCTCAGGTCCGTGGTGATTGCCACCTTCGAAGCGGATAGTGCAGTTTGGAAGAGCGTGGGTTGCCCAGCTCTGTGATCATCCGTGGTCGTGTTGTCATGTAACATTGGGAAGGTGCATTTCTCGCTGTTGGGGCGACCAGCGGACTGTCCCCTCAGAGGTCCTGAACCTGGCCAGGACATGCCGTGGTCACGCGAATCTTTGAACCACCACCCTCATCGTGTCACATCCCTCCCATCCTCCATGGTGCTCCGATTTTGCGGCCTCAGATGGGGTGCACCTTGGCCAGGAAAGCAGTGACGAGGACCCGTCCCCCGGTGTATGTGTGCAGCCTTATGCAGCCTTCACGAAAAGCCTCAGCATGTCAGCCCCTCCACCTTCCAGATGTTTCTATTTGACTCTCTGCGGTGTGACGATGCGTTGCTTTGCTCGAACTTTGCTCTCAAAGCAGTCGAGGAAGAGGAGGAGAACGGCACCCGCCCGAGTAAGCGACGGTCCAGGAGAGCCTTTGTCTCTGTGGGGATTTGTTTGGACGTGTGATTTTTGTGTGTTATGCGAGTGTGTCGTGTGTGTTTCTTTGTTTGTTTCATCGTTTCGTGCCCTGTCAACGTTCTTTTCCTGTCCGTTGGCTTGGAGGACTCCGGATGTCTGGGAACAAGAGCGTCGCCGGGTCATCGCAACACAGGCCAGACCTGATAGACGCCCCGAGCACAGTGAGTGTCGCCAATTCAACTATTTCGCATGTGTGTCTGATCGTGTCTGATGTATCTGTTGCAGAGGAGGCTGTTCTGGCGCGCGAGCCCCAAGAGCCTTTTTCGAGCAGTCTTGCCGGGCGCCTTCTTTCTCTTTCTTACTCAACCGCTTCAGGGCAGAACGCCAAGAAGAAGAGCGACGCAAGAAGCAGCAGGAGGAGGAGAAAGAGTTCCGACAACAAGACAAGTCTTCGCATGTCTGAGCAGATGTGAGTAGCATGAGTGAGGAGCAGCGGCGGAAAGCCGCCCAGGAGATCGAGCGCCAGAAGGACTCCCCCTCCCCCCCCACCCCCGGCACATCATTGCCTTGTCTTACAAGTGCCATCTCTGCTCTTTGTGTCATCTGTTGCTCTTTCTCATTCTTTATATATCTTTATTCTGTTTTGCACATGTGCCAGGTGCAGGCCGCCTTTGAGCAGCGGAAGAAGGAGGCGGAGGAGCGGAGACTTGTACGTTGAACGGATGTTGAGTCATGTGTCCTGACCTCAAGCTGTTGCAAGAGCTTGTCGACATGCACAACACTTTTGGCTGGTGCTGAGAAGGCACTTGAGTGTTGTTACGAAAGCTCCTCAAACTTGGGGGGTCGGAGCGTTTCGCTTTAAACCCAGCGTTAGCTGAGCTGCAACGGGGTTGGGGGGCCAATTTGGACGGCATAATCGGCCCTGATTTTGAGGCTAATCCCGGGCTGGTGCTGGTTTTTGGGGCTGTGCCCGCTGGAGCAGCCGATTTTTGGAGAAGCGAACGCCCGCTGATGCTTCCGGGGAAGAGTCCGGGGAGCGTTCGGGCCCCGAGCCGGCGTTGGGTCTGCATATTTGGGTATCATATTCCAGAGAACTAGAGCTGAAAGCCCCCCCCCCCTACTTGCAGCCACTTTCGGGGCAGAGCTTTCGTCTCCCCACCTCTTTGGGCGCAAGTTTTCGGATCGCGGTACTCGTCATGGCGTTCTGGGGTCAGGGTACTCATGTTGCTCAGCTTCTGCATCTGGCTTCTTGCCTTGGTCGTTTAGCTCTTATGGCTGTTTATCTGGTACTCAGAGACTTTCTGCAGCCGGATGCAAGTTGCTAGTGGAAGTCGAGAAGCGAAGCCGCGAAGCCCTCCCTCGTATGGAGGTGCACCCGTCCCGGCCAGGAGCAGCGGCTGAGGGAAGAGGAGGAGTGGCGCGCCAGGCTCGTGGAGCGGCGGAAGAAGGAAGCTGCTGAGGAGGACAACACATGGCCCTTCTAGTGGCAGAGCGTGGCAGAGTCTTTTGCAGTGGGTCGGCCTTGGTAGAAGTTTCCAGAGGTGAGCAATTGGTGCCGTTCTTTGCACAGGAAGAGCGACTTCGCCGTGAAGAGGAGGACCTGGCACCATCTTGTGCGCATTACACTAGTAGCGGCCTTTGCGCCCTTGTGGAGGAAAGTAGCGGCCATCCTTCCATTGGTTCAACCGGACTTCTAGGTCGATCCTCGACGGAGCTTTGCTCAGGAGCGGCAAGAGAGAAAGAGGAAGCGTCAGCACCCTGGAACCCAGTCCAACTCCTCCCATGTCGTGCGGCATCTTCGGCATGTCCGGCATCTGGTTTCATCGGTTTGACCTTGCGGGAGCCTTAGGGAAGGAGGAGAAGGAGCGCGAGCGGGAGAAGGAGAAGGAGCGAGAGAAGGCCAGTGGTTGCGCAGCACACTCCCCATAAGGCTGGATGCCTCAAAAGGCATTGCGCATCTTGGACTATTGAGTAGAACTCCGGCCTGGACAAACCCTGTTTCAAATCGCACCAGGACAGGAGGAAGGAGGATCCCAGGAGGAAGGAAGCCGAGGAGGACAGGGCTTAGGCGGCTCTTGCAGTGCCATAGATCCTCTTTGAGACGCTTGGAACCCTGTAGGACCGCGAGAAAAAGCGGCAAGCCTCCATGGACGCCTTTGAGCAGGCCTGGGTCTGGGGTCTGCAAATTTGAGCTGCTGTTTATGAGGCTCGATTTGGCCCTTTTCGGCTTCATTGCTGTGGCAACCAGTCGTGAACAGTCATATAGGGCGGTAGACCTGGGATGCCCAGGTGTGCAATCCAGGAAGAAGAAGACGGGACGATGCCAGAGCCCGTGCTGTGGGATATTGCCGGACGTACGAATCCTGCCAAACTTGCACTGCCTGACCAGGATGATGACGACGATGATGGCTCTCCAAAGCAAAATGCAGGACACTGGTGGGGAGCACAGAGAGGATTGCACCGAATCTTTTTTTAACACCACTCCTGCACTTGATCAAGCTGAGGCCAGGTGTGGGTATGCCGCACTGGCCTCAGTCGAGCTCAGACAGGGTCACGGCGCGTGCTCTTCTTCGTACCTTGAGGGCGATTTTGCAGGCTCAATCCCATGATGGCCATGATGGCAGCAGCTGCTGGGAATGGGTCCGCAGGCAGGGAGGTAGGACAATGTAGGACAGGCACTTGCCAGCACAGTCCTGCAACTGGAATCAAACGATTGCAAGGCTTCGCGATGGGGAACCACGCCATGGGGATGTCCAAGGGATCAGGGAAAGGCCTTTGTGAGCCACAAAGCATCATAGGGCTTTATCTTGTCTTGCATTACATTGCACTGTGTTGGAGCCCTTCAGGCCTGCACCGCAAATCAGCGCCTTGCAAGGCATGCCCGGCAAAGCTCCGAGCTCCAAGGGGGGTCACGGCTACGACTACTCCAAGGGCCAGGGTGGATGGGGCCGCTTTGCCTTGAGCCACATGTGAAGTACACGAGAGCGTGTGTTTTCGTCGTGGTTTTCTGACATCTGATTCGTCTCTGTGTGAAGTCTGTGAAGCTGAGGTGCTGGTGGCGGATGTGGTGCTGGTGGCTATGGGGGCTGTGGCGGCTACGGCGAGTACCGCGAGGCCCAAGGTGACGGCCGAGGTGCTGTTGCTGGTGCAGCCTATGCCGGCGGCCCTGGCGGCTGTGGCAACAGCTGCAGCGGTGCTGGCTGCGGCAATGGTGTTGCCCTTAGTTTGACAGTGCTGTGTGGGCTGGTTTCATTACAGCATCGGGTTTTGTGGAAGGGTTTGGATGTATGTAAATGTAGAGACTACAAGGTATCGGGTTCTGAATAACGGAGAGCTCTGCATTGAGCTTATGCATTCTGCAGTACAACAGCGCACAGGGGATCGTTTGAGGGAAATCGAACATAGGGCTGTTTTGGCTCTGCGATTGAACAGAGCCTGGGATCCCCATTCCCACCTTCATAGGGTTCCAGCCCGTGTTCGGTCTGAAAAAACGCATCCAGTACTCACTCATCGAAGCAGGTTTCAAGGTTTCAAATCAAGATTGGAGATTGACTTCGAATTCCAACGTGTTAAAACGTGCGCACAATTCTCTATAGAGTAAAAACGGAGGTCGCTGGAGGGGGGGATGGATAGCATACAGTGGAGCCTTAGGTACAAATATCTAGCAGTATCGATATGAGAGCCAACACATCTGAGTTTCTGAGTTTTCTTTGGTCCAGGTGCCGCTCCACCGCCATGGCGCACGGCGGCGGCCGCACGGCCGCCTCCCCCGCCCACAGGCCGCAGCGCAGGTGCGGGAACGGGTACTTAGGTACCTGATTAGAACAGATGCAGCTCCATTCCACTTAGCCATGAGGGACGCGCAAGATGCGAAGTGCATCAGAGGCCCTGGCTACGGCTGTGGCAGTGAGGCGCAAGGCACCAAAGGCGGCCACCTGTTTCCGAACACCGCAGGAAACAAGGGTAACCCGGGTGCAGGCGGCTTCCTGTTCGGAAACAAGGGTGCAGGCTTCGGCGGCAAAGGTTGGTGAAAATCCGCCAGGTTTCAAGACAGTTGCAATACAACAAACTCCGTGTAGAGTAGTAGGAGTGGATCCAGAGGCTTGCAGAAAATCATCCAGGTCTGGAGTACTGACATTGCATTGTATGCAAACTTCCATCCATCCATGCAAGACTCTGGATGCAAGCAGCACAAACAGCTTTGTACTCACTGCGTGCGAATGTGGAGAAACTCAGTTGCTGATGTCGGTTGGCCTGTACGTTTGAGCATGCATTGCAGACGGTGCGCTGACAAAGCCAGAATCGACACAGTGCTTGACAGTGCTTACAGCATGCACCCAGACATTCGCACAGCCTGAAGGGGTTGACGCTTTCCCGTCTTTGCACACCGTAACATAAAGCCGCTCATCTGCAGATGGTAGCGATGGTTCGCAGAAGCATTTGTTTTGGCCAATGCTTTGCATGCGAACGTTGACTGTATGGCCTGCGATGCTGACCCTGCGCTATGTTTAGCGCATGAGGTCGAGGCCGCTCGCTCGAAAGATTTCCGGTCATGGATCCCCACCATCCGGCTTTTTCCCTTGACCTGCAAGCAAGTCGAACAGGATTGCCCTGCCACCCAGTTGGACGAAGAGGACGACGAGTCCTGTGAAGTGGAACTCGGTGGGTTTCGTTGAAGTTGTGTCAGCACAATAATTACTGCAGATGTGACGCCTTTCGGCATCAGGTGTCGATGGTGTCGACGGTGTCGCTGACAAAGCCATCGCAAAGGAAGCGGCGCTCGCTTCATCTCCGGCAACTCCCCCCCCGAGGCCGAGGCCTTGCCACTATGTTTGTCCCCCCCCCCCCCCTCCGCGCATGTCCACCAGAGCCACTGAGGAAGCGGAAGCTGCCTTCGGCAGGTCGGTTTGGGCTCTTTGGGGTGTTTTGACTCCGCGGAGCATGTCACGTACTAGGCGGGTCGGACGACACCCCGGACAAGACCTGCAGAAGATCTCCAAGGCAGACGTCTGCTGAGCGGACCTTTGGGTGACACATGGCGCGCTTGTTTTTTTATTTTTCCCAACCCATTTCCACACACTGCAGGTGCCCGCAACCCCCCCCCCCCGCCGCCCTTCGCGTAGGCGGCGTAGGCATAAGCGGGCCATTAGGAGGGCCATGGGCGACTGCAGAGGTCCCGCTGGAACTTCTTGGGGCCCGGGGGTGGCTTATGTTTAGGTGTTGGCACCTGGAACACGTGCTGTAATCATGCTGTTTTCTGGACATGCACTGCTGAGGTGCACGGAATCGTGAAGACCCGAATCCTCTGAAAACAGCACGATGACATTACTGAGGGGGGGTGATTTCTTGGTGAGATGCCCCTGACGGTCTGACAAGCTTCGGCCTGTAGCAGGTTGCAAAAACTGCGGGAGTTGCGCGAACGGCAACCCCCACAAGAAGCCAAGGGGCCTCAGGCGCGCACTCGCCAGGCCTGAGACATGTACCAGCCTCCGGCAACTCCGTATATCAACAAGTGCTGCGCCTTCCTTTCCTGTGGACCTATGGAGGCTTCGCCGGGTCCGGTTCTAGCAGTGCCGCCTCTCCGGCCGATGATCGTCTTGAGCGGCGTGGAGATCGAGGCAACTGGATGGACGAGCACGGATGTCCATAGAGGGATGTCATGTCTGGCAACGTGATGTGAGATGATGCTTCTGCCTAAGGTGTTGTGATTAATTCTGTATCCGACAATCGGGCTCTGCCAAGTCTTGTGAGGCAAATCTGCTTGGCGCAGCCCGCAGACTGGTGGAGTCACTGGGAGGAGAAATTTCCGACGCCTGGACAACGAAGGCCCACGACAACTGGCAACGCATTCTTATGGCAGCGTTGAGCGTTGACATGACGAGCTGCCGATCGTGTCAGACCACACATTTGGTGGCCTGCCGGCTGCGTCGGACGTTCAAAGTTATGCCGCTTGGCGCTTCTTTTGTGTGGCTTGCCGCAGAAGGGCTAAGCTCGTCGAGGCCGGCAGTGATCTGGTCGTTTGCCCACGAGGTGTGCCCTTTGCTGCGGTGTGCCCATTGCCAGCGCCTTGGATTTTCGGAGGCACATGGAGGCACGATCTACGCGAATCTACGCATGTCTGCGCAGCATCTGCTGAAGCAAGGTGAGACCAGCCTTCCTCAAGCGCTGTGTGCAAGAAGCGCATGTGCCCGAGGCACCTTGGAACAGACTGGGACACAAATGTGTCCTGAAAACCGCCCTTGATGAAGACAGTTTGCTGCCAGGTAAGGCATCAAGATTTGCTGAGAGACGCCCTCAGCATGAGCTGGCTGTGCCAGCGCCAACGTGACTCTTCTGTGAGTGTCTCCATTCAACGTGATCTCAGGAGACACAATCGGCCAGCAGATCTTTGCCAAGCGCTTTCTTGCATGCAGCTCTGACTCACAAGGCAACTGCATGAGCCGAGTTGGAATGCACGTGCCTAAAATTTTTGACATGGGAGGAAAGTAGGAAAGCAGGACATGTGCAGAAGGGTGCTGTTGATCTGTTGATCTGCGTGTTGGACATTCTTCGATCCAGTCGAGCCTTTGAAGCAGCTGAGGCTCTGAGCGTTATTCGCTGGGGGACGTGCTCCAGCGAGCCCGAGATGGGCCGCTGCTGGCGAACTTCCGTGTCCACGTCCTGCCACAGGCCTCCGGTACTTGTGCTGCAAGAGTCAACAGCGCACATGTCCATCGAATGAGTTTACGTGTTGGCGATTGTTTGTCGCTTGCCCAAGCAGGTCACGCTAAGAGTATCTAGATATACCGTATTCCCTCCACCCAGCCCGAAGCAACGTTGCTTGTAGGGTGGGGAAGCAACTGCATTGTACATGCAGCTTCAGAGGTCGACTCTCCAGACTCAGGATAGTCTGCTCTCAAACATGTAGAAGTTCACTCCCAGTCCAACAACCAGCAGCGGCGAGAAGTCACAGCGTCCTCAGAAGCTCCCGGTTCAGAATCTTGATGTGCTTAGTTTTCACCCGATAGCTGACTTGTCCTGAGCATGTTTATGTGCTCTTCGCTCACAAACCTTCTGCTGGCATGCCATCGAAAGCAAAAGTGTCAGACATGAGCTCATGTGAGGAGACCGACTGTATCCGGGCAGGTGACCGCCATGGAGCGCCCCAAGCTGCGCACGCTCGTAGAGGCGGCTGGTGGCCAGTGGCTGGAGGCTTGCAGCTAGTCATTGTGAATAAAAGCTCAAGTAAAGCTCACGATGTTTACAACTCCAGCCCAAAAGCCCAAGACCTTCAGTGGAACAAGTCCTCCTCTGTCACAGCAACAACAACAACGGAAAGAAACCCAGGAATCCTCGAAGCCCTCACATGTTGTGCTCATGCGTAAATGATAGTTGACATTAGTTGGCCCTCAACAGTCAGGGCCAACAAAGCCAGTTCAACTTGGCCTGTAGTGCAAGCAGTGCAAGCCATGAGAAGCTGGATGTGGCCGTGGTTGTTTTGCTGGAGTACACTGAGTACAGGTGCCACGGAGCTTCCCCCCGCCAAGATGCTTCAGATGGGTCGCATAATGCAGTGCACCTTCTGCCAGATTCTGGTGAGTGAGGTGGTTGATGCTGCATACCGGGATCTCACGGACTCGGCGGCCCTGCGAAAACTGAACAAGCACTGCTCGGACATTTCTTCTCGAATCGCGACCTTGTCGGGCGCCACCTCACCCAAGGAATCTGCTGCCTGGCAGAGAAGCCAGCTAGGGGAAAGTTTGACATCTCTAGTGTGTGTCCCCACGCACACCCGCTAAACGCATGCATGTCCACTGGCCCACCTCCTGTTTTAAGAGCTTCGCAAAGGAGGACTTCTGTGCTCGGATGGTGAGGGAGCATGGAGGAGACCTGCTGGATGCAAAGTCTATGGGTGAGGACCTGACGAGCTTCTGCGTGCAGGATGACTTCTGCCGGCCCGGCCGGGAGCCTGAGCTGGAAATTTAGCTTTGCACCCCCCCCCTGCCCGAAGCCCTAGGCCCTCAATCGCCTCTTCCCCCACAGGGCTCGAGTCTTAAGATGGAAAGACTTGACGGCGTAAGGACGCTGAGGCGGATGCCCTCGTAGAAGGCTCGCGAAGGGGCCAAGATTTGGCGTAACGCTTAACCGGGCATGGACTGTCGATGACAAAAAAACGAGAGACCTTTCTAGTCCCTGCTCCAGGCATCATGAGCAACTTGGGGCACAAGGAGGATTGTGCAGCAAGTTCCGATACGTCATGAAACCACACAACCCTTCAACTGTTCTGGTGGTCAGACTCAGCCAACGTGGCCTTTTCTTCAACGAGTGCAGACCACTTGACGATCCCCGATCCCTGGGCAGCAGAGAGGAGTTGGCCTGTGCTGGACTGCAGCTCCACCTCCATGTGCGAATCTGATCTGCGGCACGTCGCCCACTCGAGATCTTCGAGCTCGCGCCGACGGGAAAGCGCGCACAAAAGCTAACTTGCTGCCTCAGGGCCCCCACCATCCCCACGCCACATCGATCCAGTATGCCCAGTCGCCCTGCAAAGATGAAAGTTCGAGAGATGCCTGAGATTCGGGTTGTGGGTTGGCCCGTTTTCAGTTCTGGGCTTCTGGCAGTGTGGACTTCTAACACAATTTGATCCAAATTGCCGGAAATCTTTCGGGTTTGTTTGTTTTCTCGGATGTTGTGATTCTCATCATCCAGGATCATCCAGGCTTCTGGTGTCTTGGCCTTCTCGCCATGAGGAGCTGCCAAAAGAACCGCCCGACGTCGTTGCGCTGCTGGTCTTTGCGGATGCCTCTTGCACTGCCTCGGCTGACCAGGTTGGGATGAAGAGCTTAGGACACTCTAGACTTGTGAGGTTTAGGTTCGACTTGCTTAGAGGATGCTTGTGGAGGGTTGCGGCTCTAGGGCTCCATTGGGGTGCCATGTGATTGCAAGCAAACGGGTGACCACATGACTCATGTGTCCATATATGACCATGCCAGGCGGCCGTCAAAGGGGTGGGCGTCTACCAGCTGGAAGGGCTGCTGTCTGCCACCTGCACCCAAGACCTGCGCCTCGAGGCGCGCTGGCGTACAATCTTGGATAATCTTTCGACCGACTCGCGTATCTGCACTGATGCACTGATTGAGACCACCTCGCGCAGGCGTTTCGGATGCCCTCGCAGCGGTCCTCTCAAGTGAAAAAAAGGGCATTGAGCATCATTGAGCTGCAGCCTCATTGAGCTGCCGTTGCGTGGACCTCTCTCAGCCTGAGGGGCCGAGAGTACACAGCTGGGTGTTCATGTGCAAGGGTCAACAAACACAAGTCGCCAACGACAAAGTAGAGACTGCAACCAGGACCAAAGCTTCATTCGGCCATGAATGTGATTTAAATTTAACAGTCAAAGAACGAGTGGACAATGCACAGAAGAATCAGTATCAGCGTCATCGCTCTGTCATGGAATGGAGTCTCTTCATGATTTGGCTGCTCACCATTAAGCCAGGTTTTTGACAGCCCTCGCCATGAGCCGAAAGCCTTTCGATTCATGGCGAAGTCTGTCAAGAACCTGGCCCAATGGTGAGCAGCCAAATAATGAAGCGGAGCAGTTCTTGGGCCGCTAAAGTGTTCAACGCCGCGTCCGGCGCCGCCAGCGCAAGCACCGCCAATATTGCCAACACCATGGGGACGATGTCGTGGACGCATTCAAGTACAAGAGTGTGCGTGAGGAAAAGCAATTCAAAGGCAGAGTCAATAGCAAAGCCACAGCAATTCAATTGTCGTCTTTTGGGTCCTTGGGCACATGCAGGTGGGTCGTTTGTGAGACTGTCATGTTCGCATATCCTTTCGCGAAATGAAACTTTAAGCAGTGGTGACTATCATTCTGGGTTATAATGATTCGGGAAACATTCTAGCAAGATGGCGTGGCGCTTGTGATCCATGTTGATTTGGTACGGCCAGGGTTGACGCTTTCACGTTTGCTTTGCGCGAATAGTTTGGGGCCATCAAGTCAGTTAAATAAGCACTGGAAGTTCTACAAGCAGTGTGTTCGAATATTCGAAGTTTCGTATTCGGTAGGTTTCGGATGACACTTGTTTTCTTGTTCCTTCCTTCCATCCAAAAAGTTGGTTGCCTTAGGCAGACTTAGGCACGGCAAAAATAAACAAGTTTGGATCAGAAATTCGCTTGGGATCATGTAGTCCCTGGTTCGTTCAGGTAAGAGGTGGCAATTCATCAGGCATTCTTGCAGAAATCGCATAAGGTTAACAAGGGCCGTGTAATATCGCATATATGGTTCAGACCCGGCGGGCCCCCCCCCCCCCCCCCCCCCCCCCCCCCCCCCCAATGGGTACCAAGATGATACCCCCCCCCCTGTGGTGTGGTTGGGGGTTGGTTTTAGGGTTAGGGTTAGGTTTAGGGTTTGAGGGTTTTGGGTTTTTAGGTTTTAGGGTTTTAGGGTTTTTTAGGGTTTTTAGGGTTTAGGGTTAGGGTTTAGGGTTTAGGTTTGCCCCGCGGATGGGGTACTAAGATGATCCCCCCCCCCCTGTGGTGTGGTTGGGGTTTGGTTTTAGGGCTAGGGTTTAGGGTTCAGGGTTTTAGGGTTTAGGGTTTAGGTTTAAGACTTAAGGTTTACGGTTTAGGGTTTCGGGTTTAGGGTTTTAGGGCTTTAAGGGTTTAGGGTTTAGGGGTTTTAGGGTTTAGGGGTTTAGGGTTAGGGTTTAGGGGGGGTAGACTTGGGGGGGGGGGGGGGGGGGGGGGGGGGGGGGGGATACCATGGGGGGGGATACCATGGGGGGGGGGCCCAGGACGCCCGACGCTGAACCATATATAGGGAGGGTTATTTGCGGCACATTATTATGCTATGGTAATTTCGTTGTTATGGTGTGAGCCGCGATTGCTCCATGTTTCTCGCCCGAGAAGTTGGTTTGTGTACCAGGTTGTCTATAGGGATCCAACGCTGGCCAGTTGCCCAACTATACTGCGACTTCTTTTATCAATCTAGTTTGTGCGGATTCTTTCGGGAGATTTGGATCCCATATCTTGGGAATGATAGGGAAGTTTACATAAAACATACGTGCATGAGCTCCTAATCTGGACCTTGGACGTAGATAGGCCGTTATAAATAAATCGCGCCTTGAACCCTCAAACGCAGAATGCTGAGAAAACGCAGATCAGAATTTGCTGGTCGTCAAAACACTCAGGCGTGTTCTTGACAGAAACGGCACTGGACAGCACCACGCCGGGCGTCTAACCTGGATCGAGTACATAAACAACAAGGCGAACAGCAAAATGACATTCAACACACACACACACAGCGGGGAACACATGCAACATCTACAAGGCAGAAGGGTCACGTAGAACAAAATGGCGTCGTATGGAGCGACAGAACCCACAGCTGCCAGCAAGGCTTTTGTTGTTTGACATGGACGTTGTTGTGGGATAAATGAAGCCGCGCCACATCAGGGTTTCAATTGCTTTGGAATGTCTTTTGATGTCCCCGCAACCTGGGAGGGCCGTTGGATGGCCTGAGCAGGCACGCTCAAGAACACACACGATTTTGCCTGCCAGGCTTCAGCAGTTGATGTGCGTTAGCGCCAATAAGCACAGCCTCAAAGAACACCCTCGGCTTCCAACCCCATCATGTTCAGCAACTCCAGGCCGGCATGCCCCTCATTCCTCTTCCTTACTACACTGTCCTAAACTGTCCTACCCTGTATCGTTAGTAGAACACAACTGATCCCATGTCAAGCTCGGGCCGGACGCGCCGCTGGCTGCTGGCATGGGGTGGCCTCGGGGCTGGGGGGCTCACACCCCAGAGATAAGATCATGGACATAATGACATAGAGAGGGTGGAGGGATGTGGAGGGACTCCAGATGGCGATCCCCTGTTTTGCTTGTGCCACTGGTGCCGCTCTGGAACTCCTCAATGCAAATAAGGCTGGCATTCTTCCATGTGCCAAGGGGCCACGTGGCACTTCGAGAAGCTTGGACTCTGACCCAACACAGACTCAGCCTTGGACTTCGAAGTTTAGGGTCTTCGCGGGATGTTCTGGACTTTGCGGATTTGTTTCTGCGTGAGGCTTTGAGACTCAGCTGAGTTTCCGAGCAGATGCGTCCACATGCGGCTGTAGGCTTCACGGTTGTCATTCCCCTGAGGCGAGAAAGCATCACGACGATGCCCCTGTTCTTCAGCATTTCATTGCGGACTCTCCGCTTCTGCGAGGAACCAAAGTTGGGGGAGATGATGCACCGACTGTCTTCTTGGTAGCCCCGCCCTCGCAGCAGTTGACGAATTACGTCTTGGAAGACCCCAGCGGCCCCTTTGCCGGGAAGTTCAAGTGGCCGGACAGGCTCTTCGATGATGTGGACGGCAAGAACGAGCCTGATGTGGCAGACCATGCCCCGGGATCGTGGAAGAAGTGGAGCTTTCAGTTCTCCAAGCGGGAGCCCTTCATGCTAAAGGCAGACTGGCACAGCGTGTGCGGGTGGGGCAAGAAGTTTGACATCTTCGTGCCGCGGAAGAATGCAGTTGTGCCAGTGCCGCAGGCGCCACCGCGTGTGCTGGCATTGATTGAAGCCTTCCGCAAAGTGAACGAAGCTTGCTGGCAAGAGATCACATCCGGTCTGCGGGAGCTAAAGGAGCAGAAGCCCGACGACATACTCAGGCTCGGCAGTCTTAGACTAGTAGATCTCAGCAGACCCTTGGCGGTTTCTTGGCTTCGTTGTGCTTCGTTTGATTTCCTGAGGTGCCGCCTGTTGAAGATGCTCTTAGAGGAGTTCGAGGAGCGCGGCTTCTTTGGCGCCATTGAAGCGCAGGACTGAAACGGGGGGGAAGCACTATGGAGGCTATAGAACAATTGTTCCATTTCGAGCAAATCGGAAGCTCCAGGCGGGCCCGGCCCGGAGGAAGGAGATGCACTGGCACCGCGATGGCGCGACGGGCCTGCTTCACCTGGGGTGCCGAGGCTCACAAGGCTGATTCAGAAGATTCATTCAGAAGATTCAGAACAAGCAAAGTCAGAATCATGAACGCAAATTGGCCACGATAGTGCCACGATTGCCCACAATTCACCACACTAGCAACAACCGTCGACAATGGGGTTAGAGAAGTTCTACTCCGATGCGCTCTGCATCCTAAGGATCACCTTGAGTGGGCGACGTCGGCTGCAGCTGCGTGCCCGGAGCGGGGGCTCAGACGGGTTGGGCTTTCCATGGGCTCAGGGCACAGGGCACCTTGCAGGTGCCCTGCACGTGCACAAATCACAAAAAGTGTTCCAAGTGCTCCAAGTGCTTCAACTGCCAGGAGCGAAGATGATTCCTGGACCCAAGAGCTCTGGATGGATGCAGGCGCACGGTGACCACAGAACTTTGCAGAATGCAGAAATACGCAGAGTAGCTCCAGTGCCGTTCAGAGGGGTTTGGGGTTTGATGTGGCCTGAGGCTAGCGAGTGTTCTGAGTGTTCTGAGTGTTCTGAGTGTTCTGAGTGTTCTGAGTGTTCTGAGCGTTCTGAGTGTTCTGAGTGTTCTCGCAGGTCACGTGTACTTGTCCTCGCCCTTCCTCTTTGAGCACAGCATCACTTATGGTGCGGAAAGCAGTGGCCCGACGCTGGCGTTGATGTGCCGCTTTGGTTTCCTGGATGAGGAGGACGCGCTGTGGGTCAACCATTTCCGCGGTCGAGACATGCTGGAGGTTGCTGAGCTCATCAGCGGCTGCCTGCGCAACGCCACCGATGCTGGGAACCTGCGCATGCCAACACTAAAGGAGGTGAGTGACATGGAGAAGGAGGTTGCCAGAGGGCCAATGTGACCTGTGAGCTTACGACAAAACACTGCTCGTGCTACACATGTTCGTCCAAGTTCTATGAGAGACCGATTGTTCTTGTCCGCTCATCTTTCTTTCCGAACTTTACTTGCAACCAGTCTCGAAGCATTTCGGAAATGACGGCCAGACAACAGCCACCTTTGCAAAATACCTTGGGAAACATGCCAAAGCTGAAGGCATCCCACATACTTTCACATACGGTCACTGATTTCACACATTGTTAGACTGAAGCTCGTGCATCGCAGTCCTTTCATTTCTTTGGCGCGTTTGCAGCCATGGTAGACATGCTGGACACCGCCGAGCTGAAGAAGCTCGTGATCACGGGGCTGAACTGGGCCATGCTAGCAGGGACCTGCTGGGGGAGGGGGGGGGGGGGGCGGGGGGGGGCGGGGGGGGGAGGGTGAAGCAAAAACAGCTCAGTGCGGCAGGCAAAATCGAAACGAGCACGGCCTGCGGCCTGCAGTTGTAGGAGCTGCCTCATGAAGCTTCCGCAGATTAACAACATCTTGAAGGCAGGGCATTACGCACGTTCTTGCGGGCACGTCACGGTAGCAGTGTTCAAGCAGGGTCCAATTAACAAGGGGGGGGTACCCTTTACGAACTTCCCCGGACGAGCTTATTTGTCATGAAACTGGCATCCCGTTGCCCCTTTCTTCAAGTAGGACTCCGGAAGGCAGGCAGCGTGGTGGGTCTGTCAGAGACCTTCGTGATAAATGACTGCATCGCCGGATTGCTGTTTGCCACATGCTCAGTAAACAGAACTGAGATTGCATGTATTTGCACGTTTTCTCCTCACCCTGGCAGTGGTGCAGCAGCCGATCTTTTCAGGTCTACTACAATGTGCTTTCCGGTCACCCCTTCATGAGCTGGGGAGAGAATGTGATAGTGGGTGTGCAGAATACCATCGTCAGAGCCTCACATTGGCAATTGATTTCCGAGACTTTCACTTGTGTAGAAGATTGTGGAAGCCTCATTTTACTTGCTGAGATCATCTTCCTGTACTGGCACTACTCGCCGCAGCTGTCCAAAGCGTCGGTCCCTCTGATCAAGGGGCTGTAGTCTCACAGCGCCATGTCCCACCTTCTCATCCCAAAAAGGCCTCGCTTCCTTGGGGCCGTGGCCTTCGTGGTGGCCAGTGTCGCTGTGCTCCTCCTCGGTGCCCTGGGCATACCTGAGCGTCTCGACCTCGAGTTGCCTCCGAAGCCTCCGAGTCTCCAAGGCTTGCCCGAAGCGGGTGTGTCGGCTCTAGGCACGGCGCCGATCATCCTAGGCCTGGTGCTCAGAGTCGCAGCAGAGCTGCGTCACGATTCCGTGTGTGGCCCACGCATGACACCTGTGATGAAGTTCGCCTTAGCCGCTTGAGCACGCATGGGTGCAGGCAACGGCTCAAAAGTGCCGCAGATTTGGAAGAACATGGCCCAAAAACACACGGGCACCATGGCGGCCGTGCCCAATCCTCGGGGTCGAGCTTGTGAATCCTTTGGCCACTTTGGGGCCACGCGGTGAGTTCCATGGCTGTGAGTTCATGGCTCTTGCATGGCTTTTGCATGGCCTTGTGTGGCTTTGTTGCTTCATGTTGAGGCCCGCGCTTCTGGGACTTGCGGGGTGCTCCGTCCGGGCTTGGGGCCCTAAGAGTTGCTTCCCGTCCCGATCTGAACAGGTGTATAGCCGCAACAAAGATCAAGTGATCAAGCCGCAACAATGATCAAGGCATGGAATTGAAGTCTGAGGTCCTAACGTACGCCTTGCAGACGAAGGCTTGTCAGGATTGCAGCTCTTCTTTCTTCACAAAGAGTTTCGGCGACGAGGATGTCGTCGCCATCTTGAATCCGCTCGCGGCAGCCGCGCTGTGGTTCATCCTCCTGTTGCAGCAGATGCCTCACGGGAATTGTAGGGCATTGTAGTGGGTGTTGTGTGTGTGTGTGTGTGTGTGTCTGCAGAACCCATCTATCGTCCCAGTGAGATCAGGTTCGTCCTCTACTGGAAAACAACCAAGGAGGTGCAAAAACAGGCCCACCTCTGCCCTTCCCTCTCTGCCTCTTGAGATCTAATAGTCAACGTGTGTTCAGGCAGAGGCCAAGCGCAAAGAGGCAGGACAGAAGAAAGCCGCGCCGGGCAGCCCGGGATTGCCTTTCTTGTGCTTGGCATCTCAGGACTTAAGTCGGCGCTTGGCCTTGGACTATTCAAGTTTTTCTTACGATGGGATAGGTAGGCCTGATTGGTGATGATGGATGACATACTGTTGCCTGCTCGCATCGCCTGCTCGCATCGCCTTGCCCTCAGGTGACGAAAGCGCTGCGAAACGAGCCAGATGAAGCCTTACCCTGGGCCTGCTGTACATAAATCGACACGGCTACGAGGATAAGGTGTTGTCAACTTCGTTTCGATTCTAGCCAGGTGCAGACTTGTTAATAAACACCTGCTGCGCGCCCACGAGCATGACTTTGTGAGTATTGGCTGGCTGTCTGTGGTCATGGACTTGCAACATTGTGAGCCAGAGTCAGTTGATGCTGGGGGCCTATCTCTGCAAAGGCTTAGCTAGGCTCAAGTTGTTGGCCGCACAGTTTTGAAGAGTTTCAACGGCGCGCCGTCGCCGGTCATGTCCTGCACCCCGGTCTGGCACCCAGGCGTTCACAAGCGACGTTTGTTGTTGCCACAAGGGACCCCCATGTGAGGATGTTCTGTGGGCGCAGCGCCCAGATGCGGTGTACCTGACCATCGACCTGAAAGAAGTTCAGGACATAAAGGCCCTGTTGCGCTGTCACCCCAAGTTGCCAAGCATGCTCGACATGAAAAAGAGCCTTGAGCCAGGTCAACCTGGAAGCAGAGAAAATCTCTTTCTCGGGCAAGGCTGGTGAACTCGTTTTTCTGGAACCGCACAGTTACAAGCCACGACCTTGATCCCGCCCCAGGCACAAGGCAGTCTTTACGAGTTCTCCTTGGACTTCTTTGTGACGTTCTTACAATGGGCTACGTGGATGTCCGGCTAAAGACGGCTTTGTGAGATGCGCGTCGCCTCTTAGGCGCCGATAGCAAAGGAGGAGTCCAAGTGGAGTACCAAGAGGCCGCGACCGAGGATTCCTAGAACCCAGCGCGCCTAGCAATGGCGTACAGTCACGGTGCGCATATCTACTTTCTTCTTCACTACCTGGAAGGTTAATAGAGTTCTACCTCAAAAAAGAAGCAGAGGGGAACTGGACGAGCCTCAGCAAGATAAAGAAGCTTCCTTGGGTGAAGGCCATGGCACTCCATGGCACTCCATGGCACTCCATGGCACTCCTTCTGCCTTCCTGCTCGAACCTGTGCTTCGGTCGTTTATACATCGGCTTGGCAGGTGGATTGGAAAAGATGGCAGGACTCCGATGATGAGGATGAAGGCAAACAGAACGCCTGGAATCTGGATGGCCTTCCTGACATGTTTGGGCCCAGTTGCGCGGCTAGACACATGCTGTGGCGGTCCTCCCTGGCAGGACTAGGCGACATGAATTTCGGCGATATGGGAGCTGAAGCAGAGTATGACTCTGATGACGAGGCCCGCATCATTAAGCATGTCACTTTGAGCTCGTGCTGAGGAGTGGCCGTATCCCACATCCCAGTAAAGGGCCTACGCGCCTTAGCCTGTTGGGGAATCCTGTGGACCTCTGAGCTGGAAGGACGAAGTAAGCATCGCCAGTCAAGAAGTAAAATGTAACCGTCCTCCATGTGGTAAATCATAATTGGAAGAGTACCTCGGGCCTTAACACTTTCGGTTTGATAATTCAGTTGGTACTGCAAAGGCATGTACTTATTGATGGCTCAAGGGAACGTAAAAGCCCTACATGCCGCTGCCATAGAGCTCGTGGCTTTCGTGGTTCCGACCTCCAGTGTCTTGACGCAACAGCTCAGGAGTTGCCGGACCTAGATCCAGCGGAGGCCGTGCAATGAGGGCGTGGGGCTGCTGGATTGTTAGGAGGCATGAGGGATGACCACTGTTCGAGGCTTCTTCACTACAGGGGGTGCTGGGCGGTTGGTGCTGTAGGTTGCTTGGGATGGATTTCCGATTCAAACAGTGTTGGGCTCTTATGCCAGGTTCCCCTTGGCGGTGCTGGGGACGCGCCTCAGCAGGACGGGCGTAGGGGGCAGGAGGGCATTTTGCTCTAGCAGCGAAGGGCCGTTCATTTGAGGGATGCTGAAGATGTGTTGAGGGGTTGACCGGTTGAGTGTCGATGTTCTGGTACGCTCAGGGAGCCAGCGGCGGAGAGGCCAAGAAGGCGGTGCAGAGTGCGTCTTCTTGTGACACAGGAATCTTATAGGTGCTCTAGTTCTTGCTGCTCGCCGTGTGCGACGCCCCCTGCAGGTTGTAGATACTGACACGCTGGACTGAGCTTCCCGGGTTGCAGAAGCGTTCCCAGGCGCTCGAGGCTCTGCAGCTTCCCTGTGACTCACAGTGATCAGACTGCCAACAGCCACAGGCGAGTCAACTTGGCTGCTAATGATCTGGAGTTCTGACACAAGTGCTGCCAGAACTTGGTGAATATCCGGCGAATCTTCGGAGCAGGGTATCTGGAAGAAATCACCCGTAGCATCCCGTAGCCGACCTGGCTCTGAAGATTCCAGATGTTGCCTGAATTGATTGGGCCTGCCACAGACCTTGCATTGGAAGATGAGGGCCAGCACATTGGTGCCTTGCTCGGGCAAGCAGGTCATCTGAGGTCTCTTAGAAGGGTTCTGTTTCTAGCATGTCAGCATGAATATGTGTTCCGATCCCCACAGCTTTTTGGCCCAACACCGTAGATTCTAGATCTAGGGCTGCCAACAGCCATGTCCGGCTTCGATTACTCGAAGTGGGACCGACTCGAAATAAGCGATGATGAGACCACGCGCGGCCCTGAGACTTCAGCACACCGGCAGTTATGGGCGCTTCTAAAGCTCCTCGAGGTTCCACCCGAACCTGGACACCGGCTTGAACATCCGCGTGAACAGAATAACACGAGATAGAAAAGAAGAGGACTGATGACGGCTCAGAGGGGTGTTGGAGGGTCTTGGAGAGTCTTGTGACTTCAGGGCAGAATCATGCCAGGAGATCGAAAGCGAGAAGCAGAAGCTTATCGAGAAGGGTGAAAAGGACAAGGCCCAGCGAATCTATGCCCATATGCAGCCCTCCCTCCCTCCTCCAAGCAGGGCGGTTCAAGATGAAAATGGGGCCGAGTGCAATTCCTTTGAGTTAGACGCTCAAACATTTTCTATGGGCTACACAAGGCATCTAATACAGCACAGCGCCCCCTTGTCGGTCTGAGAAACGAACATCCAAGATTGAGCCAGGTAGAGCCACGCAAACCCATGTAGAGCCGAGAGCTCGGGATCGCGCCTCCTGCAAAGGCGGAGAAGCTGGAGTCCAAACGGCCCTTGCACATCAACAACGTCTGCCATGTGGCCGAGGACGGATCCCCTCAATTTTGAGGTTAAAAAACTTGAGCCGAGCCGAAGGCCCCGAAAGGCAAAGAAAGGTAGGAGTCTCGGAGCAGCGTTGAGCGGATCCGTTTTCTCAGAAGCAGGAGCGCACCATCATCCAATCCAGTGACGGGTCTAGAAAAGACAAGCTGAAGAAGGGCGAGGAGTCCTTCAGTGTGGATGACTACTCCCTTTTTAAAACAGACAACAAGCGCTCTCCTCAGATTGGTACACTTGCTTGGTCTTTCTAGCACTGGCAGTGTGGTCGTGTGATGTCGTGTGCACAGGGCCATTCTGGACAAGTTCGCCAACGCCGATTGGGAGACGTCCGAGGGTCTGTGCAAGGAGTGCGCCCGCCATAGGACCAATGCAAGAGCAGGGAAGGGAACAGATTTGATCCAACCCATCATGGCCTTGTGACTTGTGCGTGCGGCAGTACGGGCTCTAGAGTATTCAAAGTCGTATTCTAGAGAGCCAAGCCCGTGCCGTGGAGAGGCTGCTTTGCTTAAAAGAGGTTCTGCCGCTTCAACATCTGCAGCTATATGAGGCTATATGTGATGCAGAATGACAGCTTGTCGTTTCTCAGGTCATCTCAGGGCCTGTGAGTAGCTCTTTAGAGGATTTGTGTGTCGAGCATACAAACCGGCCGCGGTTGCAACGGAACACAATGGCTTGAAGCAGCATCTTGCACTAGTCCATGCAAGTTCTCCTGGACCAAGGGAGACCATGGGAGCCAACTGGAGTGACAGTGAAAGGCCCACCTATGCTCTCCTAATGTGCGAAGAGTCCACTTTTTAGTGAAGGGCTTTGTATTCTGAATGGCCTCAACGGCAGCAAGTAATCGGATCCGTTAATCTGTTGTGTCGGAGGTGCCTTCAGGCGGCTGCTACGGGTGACACGCAGGCCTCGCAAAGTCGTTTTCGTACTGTATGCACCTAGAGAGCTGCGCATGTGAGCACATGTGCTCCTGTCGAGGAGCTGCAGCGATTGCACGATTTTGGAGCGGACCTCAACGCTTCTGATAGCTCGACTCCCAGTGGGCTGGGATGCCGGCATTTTTCCGCTCGTATCTGCGTGTAGAGTCAGGGCTTTAACAGAGGCTGCTCAAGGCTTTTTGTGGCAGGTCGTGGAAAGACCGCCGCGATGGAAGCTGCAGCTTGTGGCCGCCAGGACATGCCGAGATATGCGTCCAGACAGAACACCGATTTTCTTGTCAAAATGGCCCGGCCAGGATTGTCTCTCCCTCATCGTCGGCTCTGGCGCTGACCTCAATGCTTCGGACAACCGCGGATGGACGGTCCCCAGCTGGCATGGAGAGGGGTCCTTTTGCAGGAGAAGGGTTTTTAAACAGGTTTTTGGCATTTTTTGGTTCGTCGGTGACCTTTGGTATGCTGAGCACCTTCTGCCAGGCTGCCATGCATGCAGCCTTTCGTGGTGAGCTGGGGTGCCTACGTCTCCTCATCGAGAATGGAGCTAACGTGGATTGTGAGGCCACGGCATGTGGCAAGCCTCAGCATAACAGCCAGCAGCGTGATGGCAGCCTCATAGCAAATCTAGGACTCAAGATCTTAGGCCCCGTTTGCCAGGACTTCCTAGGAACGACTCCGCTGATGCGTCGGCACCCCAGGAAGGGGAAGATGCTTTGGAACAAACCTGCTTCCGTGGCAGATGCTTTTTGCGTGACCCTTGCACGCACGACCGCATGCGCTTGTGTAAGCGCGCGCATGCGAGCATGTGCGTCCGTGTGCGTGCGCTTGTCCAGCATGTGCGTGTGTGGTGTGTGCGCGCGCATGTGTGCGCTTGTGCTTGTGCTTTGTGCTTTGTGCTTTGTGCTTTGTGCTTTGTGCTTTGTGCTCTGTGCATTGTGCTCTGTGCTCTGTGCTCTGTGCTCTGTGCTTTGTGCTCTGTGCTCTGTGCTCTGTGCTCTGTGCTTTGTGCTTTGTGCTTGGTGCTTGGTGCTTGGTGCTTGCTGCTTGGTGCTTGGTGCTTGGTGCTTGGTGCTTGGTGCTTGGTGCTTGGTGCTGGGTGCTTGGTGCTTGGTGCTTGGTGCTTGGTGCTTGGTGCTTGGTGCTGGGTGCTGGGTGCTGGGTGCTGGGTGCTGGGTGCTGGGTGCTGGGTGCTGGTGCTGGTGCTTGTGCTTGTGCTTGTCGGAGTGTGTGTGTGTGTGTGTGTGTGTGTGTATGTATGTATGTGTGTGTGGTTGGGTACAGAGCTGTTTGCTAAGGATGAGCAAGTTGCGTGGGCACACGGCATCTGCAACCTACCGTGTGCAACGAAGCTACGGTTGCAGATGGGATATCCAGCCTGATCAGCTGGACGAACCTGCACTTTTCGTGTAAACTCGCGACTCCTTCGAAAGAGGGTGCGAACCTGTGTGTGCGCTGGTGTGTGTGCTTGTGTGTGCTCTTGTGTGTGTGTGTGTGTGTGTGTGCGTGCGTGTGCGTGTGCGTGTGGGTGTGTGTGGGTGTGTGTGTGTGTGTGTGCACGCTCGTGTGTTTGTGTTTGTGTGCGTGTGTGTGTGTGTGTGTGTGTGTGTGTGTGTGTGTCTGTGTGTGTGTGTGTGTGTGTGTGTGTGTTTGTTTGTTTGTGTGTGTGTGTGTGTCTATGTGCGTGTGTACATCCGGTGCGGACATTAAGCACTTCTTCAAAGGTGTCAGCATCCTTGTTGCAGCTGCAGCTTAGCACAGGAAGGTGTGCATCATACAGATGAGCAGCGCACGCAATGGCGCAAGGCACAAGAAGATGTGAACGTTGAAAGCGCGCACTGGAGCAGTGTAAAGGCAATTGAAAAGAAAAGGGCGTGCATCGCACCTGTAAAGTACACACAGTTTCAAAGGGTCGACAGGCCCAGTGCACTCGAGGCAACGGAGCCATGCTGCACTGTGAGGGGGGGGGGGGGGGGGGTCTGATCAACCACCTGCTGAGCGGTGATTGCTTCAGCAAGCATGAAAAGCATTGTCGCTGTTGCTTCAAAGCAGCAGCCTTTGCAACATGGGGACTCGAATCATCAGTGGAGCCTGTCATGTTATCGGCTGGAGCTTTGCACCATATGACATGCAGCACATGGTATTGGATGCAGCACCAGCAGAGCAAGCAATCATCATGGTTGCAGCTTTTTTACGTTAGATGCAGCATTGGTGCAACACTCAACATGTGATGTGCGGAAGCGTTGCAAAGAGCACGTGAAGAACTTTTTTCAAGCGAAGCGAAGGCGGTGTGATGTAGTCATGTATGACGATGTTACAAAGTGGAGCGAACGTGAAGTCAACTGTTTACCACTTTACACATCAACGCCTCGAAAATACGACGTTCAACATTACAACTGGCATCTGCAAGCACGTGGACGGCACCACTCAACATCATTTTTCGAAACCACATTGTTTAACACGACATTCGTCATCTACAGGACTTGGGCAAAACATGTCCGACACAATGCAATTCCCAGCAAACATCGTCGACCCTGCAACACATTCATATCATGCTTTCTTTCTTATGAACTTTTGGATTTGCGACGAAAGCTTTTGCCACGTGAACAGGAGAACGGCGGCGAAATGATGTCTAACAGTCTAACTCGTTCTTCAATGTGGAAAATAAACTTGCCTAAACCTGCGCGTCTGTTCTGTGGAGCGAGCGTCACGCACAAAACGGAAGCATACTTAAATCTTCGAGCCTGCAACATGCGTTTATATACTTTTTCACAACAACCCATGGCAGCAAGCCCAACCCTTTGGACGAACCGAGGAGCTGCGATCAGTGGGCACGTGAAGTGTGTCCGCCTCCTTTTGGAACATGGCCAGGAGCTCAAGCTATCAAACCACGTTCTACGATCGCCACCTATTCGCTGTCAGTCCGAGTAGCCACACTCAAAACAAGCTCTTGAGGACTCTCCTGCTTTTACTTATGCGAGGGCTGGATGGATGTCTGCTAAAGTGCGCAAGAACGTCACAAAGGCAATGGGCACGGGGCAGAGTACTCGCAGGTAGGCCCCAACAAATTACGCAACCTGAAGCCTTACATAATGCTACATCCTGGGTATGGTTTCAAAGCCGAGGTGCGAACCCTCACAAGAGGGACAAGCACCTGGGAATCGCGGCTGTGGGCCATGCCCGAAGGCCTTGTGACCTTCGGCCATCGTGCCAGGGAATCTAACAAAACCAAGCGGTTCGACTTTCGGTTCATTTTTTTGGTGCTTCAATCCGTTGTCCGAGAGAAGAAGCCCAGCATGTCTGGCATACGGCCTGGGCCTGGAATGCTGTGCAGGAAGGGTAAGCTGCTCTGCGCGCTGGCCATGAGTCAGGAGCCAGTCCATGGCTCAGTGTGTACTTCAGTATCGTTCAGTTTGTAGCGTGTAGCGCTTCTGCATGGGTGGGTCATGGATGTGGCCTCTTCTGGTAGATCCGTGGGCAGAGAGGGCCCCAAGCTGAGGTGTTGGACGCGTTCTGATCTCCCACGGCAGGAAGCCGTCACCGAGTGTGGGCTTCGGTCGTCGGCAACTGGTCTGAAGCCATTATTGTAAAGATGGGCAGCCAGGTCGGTCAGCTGTGGTGAGTCTGAACTGCAAGAGAATTTATGCTTTTGGCTTTGGCAGACCTTCGGGCATGATCTCAGCTCTGCCAGGGCATGGTTTTGTGCCGGTGAATGTACAGAGCAGGACCGTCAGTGGCCCCTTGATTTTGTTTTCCGGCTTGAAGGCATTGAAGGCGAAGGGCCTTTGGAAGGCTTCAGCAGCTTTTGACAGGGCCAAGTGTGCAAAGGCGCCGATGTTTCTTTTTGCCCTACGGCTGAAGCCTACCAAAGGCCGCAGAGGCTCTTGGGCAACATTTGCAGATGTAGGAGCATTGAGAGCCTGGAAGCGTGACAATCTTCCAGATTTCCAGATTTTAAGCTCATGATCAGGTTGCACATCTGCGTTCCCAGCGCGTCAAGATGTATTCAGTTTTCCTAGTTAGGGATACCGCTTGCTGCCGGAGCACGCAACATATGCAACCTATTGCTCAAGACTGCGCAAACTGCGGAGGCTTGTGCAAGAGTGAGTGCGCAACACTCTGTGCAGTCGGGAAGGCTCGCGCAAAACTGCGTCTGCCTTGGGCTCACGAAGTGTTCGGAAGGTGTGTCCGGCTGTTGCCGGGACTCGGGAGATCTCGGCCTTCCGCCAAACAAGAGAAACTAAATTCTCGTCAAGGCTGGCTCCAAGGACAAGTTACTCGAGCTTTGTTTTTGTAAGAATCACGTGCGTCGGCTTATGCAGACCCCCGTAATTGCTATGTGATCCTCCTTGTAGCTGGCCTGTCCATTATCGCTTGTCAGTACAGTATCGCCTGAAGCTGAAACTAGTGGCAGCGTGGCTGCCTTTGTGCAGAGCTCATCCACACAACAACACAAGCATTTCTGAGAGTCAGAAGCGTTCCACGGCAGGTATGGGCACATATTGATGGATGATTATGCCAACAGCTGCTTTGGCATCATTGTCTGGAAGCTGGCCTGGTTCATTTGTCATTTGGGGATTTCGGGTTTTCAGGTGCTTCGAAGGCAAAGCGAGGTCGCAAGAAGCGAGCGCGAAGCGAGCGCCAGTGGGGAGCGGTTCCTTGGACCAATTGCCAGGCTATTTTATGTTGGCCGCCCTGGACGCAGGGAGCCCAACCGACTCACAGGCTCACATATGCAAAGGCAAAGGAAGTATGGGAAGTGCGCACGTGCAGAGGACAAGTATGGTGACCTGTTGTCTTATGCAGGAGGGGCTTCAAGATCATGATCTCAACATGCCCAGGCCGAGATGAAGGGCGACAGAAAGGAGATGGAGAAGCTGGCAAGACAGGCGCGAAATTCTTTGCTGGAAGGGCAGCAATTTGGGGTGGGTGGGTGAATCATGACAGTATGAATACGGCTCCCTCGCATTGGGGGCTGGCTTTGGTTGGCCTTAGCTTGCCCCTCAAGTGGGACCTTCTGGGACACTTCTCAAGGAGTTCTGTGCAGCTTTCCATCTTGTGCTTCCTGACTTTGCACCAGGGCCAGATCATCTCGCAGATCCATCAGCTTGCTGAGCCCATGCGACGGCCCGCGCGCGATCTTGTGCTGTCCCCAGCAGTCCTACAGTCTCGAATCATCGAATCAGCATTGGCGCGCTTGTGTGTTGAAGGTTCACGTCGTGACATTCTAAGCATAAGCATGGCATAAGCATGCGGCTTCGAGTCTTTGAAGCACGTAGGCCTGTCAGGATGGGCTCGAATGCAGCATAATGCAGGCTTGTATTCTGAACAACCTGTATTTGTCGGATCCCTGACTCGGAGAGGTGCCGCGATTCTTTGAAAAGTTCCGCAATGATGCCTCGAGGGCGGCATTTCAGGCACATCTGGGATGTAGGAATCAAGGGCCCAGGTGCTTTTTGGTTCTGGTTTAGGTCACAACTTGCGTGAGAGTGCCAGGAGGGCGTGGATCACTTCAAGAAGCATTTGATCCAGAGAGTGCCAAGCTCAGGGTGTGTGGTCTGTTCTGTGAAATGAGATGCCGAGGATGCATGCTTTGTACTCGTGCTAGCGTTTCTGGGCCATTTGGCAAGCCACGAGGCCATTGTCAAAAAGCAGGAGGAGGCAGCGCCGAGCGCCATGAAAAAGCGCGATGAAAAGGGGCGGTTGACTGCCGAAGCAAAGGGTGTCCAGCTTGGAAGGCCGAGGAAGCGAAGAAAGCACCTCCTCAACCAGAAGTGGCCGAAGAGGCCTTGAAGGGCCTTGCAAGGTCGGCTTAAAGGTCGTTTCAAGGTCCTCCCTTCGCGCTGCAGGACATGGAGCCCGTGTCACTTGTAGAGGCCTGGATCTTGGTCTGATGGGGAGTTGTTTGTGTGTGTGTGGCGCTGCATTGGCCCACAATGTCCAGTGGCATGTCAAGGGCCATGCAACCGTCCCCAGTCCCCAAGCTGATGCAAGGGCCAAGGGATGCTGATGATGTTGGCCGGCCGTGATGCTGCCATAGCCCGATGACGTAGAGGGCTGATATGTGAAACAAATGCTGATTGTTGCAGCTGGCCCCTTGGTGGCCTGGTGAAGGATGCTGATGCTGCGGAGGGCTGATGTTGAAGGTGTTTTATCAAAAACACTAGCTTCGCGCAAAAAAAGCTCGCCCAATAAAACACGAGGACCCGCAACCTCCACCCTCCACAGAGCTTGTCTCCGCCTTCTCCGCCTTCTCCGCCTTCTCCGCCTTCTCCGCCTTCTCCGCCTTCTCCACCTTCCCGAGGCCATGTACAGCATGTCAAAAGAGGAGCGGATGGGGCCTGAAGGTCTCGACCCAGTGGAGGCAATGCGAGAATTCAGAATGCAAGATCAAGCTCTGCCAAGGGCTGTGATTTCATGGTGGCCTGTGGCCTGTGTGGAATGTCGGTGGCATGTGCTGACAGGTCTTTGAGAGCCTCCCCTCAGAGTTGCAGGAGTGCTTCAAGACTGGGGATGTGGAAATGCTCAAGCAGGCCCAGCGAACTCCAGCGGGAGAGGGGAACAGAAAGATTACGATCACGACTTAACCGCATCATGCCCGGCAGCCCAAGCACATGGCAGCTCATCCCTTCAAACTTCCCCTGCTTACTCCGAAGTTCCAGGTGGCGCAGAGCATGGAGCCCAAGGACTTCGAGCACCACTTTCAGCGCTGCATCGGAGCAGGCCTTGGCTGTCGCTCTCGCTGTCGCCCTGCCGTTCAAAGGGGTGCTCGCTCTCCTGTGATCACTACATCTCTCTACTTGTGTGCATTTGTGTGCTCTACGAAAGTACTCGGTGTGTGTGTGTGTGTGACTTGGTGTGGGCAGGTCTCTGGAGCCGAGGATAGCCTCGGCTTGAGATGCACCACGGGGTACAGTCCAATGCATCTCTTTTAAAGACCTCTGCATGACCTTTGCTCAAACCAGGAGGGCAACAGCTGGGGCCCTCACTGGTTTAGTATCACTCTGGAGGGCCAACCTGACTTCGGAAGCGTTCCGGACCAGGGATGACCTTGCAGGGCCCGTGCCCATGGTGCCAGACATGGCCAGCTCTCCGGCACCGAGAAACCGTGCACGCCATGAAAATCGCTGCCAGCAGTGCAACATAGCGCAACATAGTGGTCCGAAGGGCTCGGGGCTAGCGGCAAGGCCATAAATCACAACTGCTTTGCCTGCATGTCTGCGCAGCCAGGTCGCCCGAACGGAGCGATTCGGGGGCCCTCCTGACGCTCCCCTCACCCTTGGGTCCTTGGGGTTTCTCCCCTACATAGAGTCGAACGAAGTAGGAGGTTGCATGTTTGGTCAAACTTGGAACCATGGCTGTGTGCAGTGTTGATCAAATCAGCATCTTTCTGGTGCTCCGCTTTCTGTGGACACACTCTCCTCGCCATGGACAAAGAACGGAAGGCCGAAACTGCGAAAGGTGTCAGAAAGGAGCCCGCAAAGTGCTGGGTGATGGGGTACGGATTTCACGTCGCAGTGCTTGTCACCACTGCTTTCTTCTTCGTTTTGTTTTGCCCTGTCAATGACCCAAACTGGGCAGCTGACCTTTGGAACTATGACTACTACTCTTCCATCGGCTTTGAAAGACCATGCTTGCAGAAGTGGATGCCAATTTTCAGCACGTTGGTCGTGGCATCTGCACTGACTGGAGTTGCAGCATGTGCCCTTCTTCAACGTGCAGCAGCCTTGGAAGTCCACTGGGCGGCAGGGTATATTTTGCTGAATTGGGCCCAGGGGCTTATGGCAGCTTTGGTGATTTCCGACCTTGCAGCTGGAGATTACTATTACCTGGACTATGATCCCTTCACCCATCGGCAGCTAATATGTTGCAAGTGTTCTTGGGGGGTGTTTGGTTTTGCCCCAATGCAGCAGCTGCTGCAGGCGAAGCGGGTTTTCGACATGCAAGGGCAGCAAGAGAAGTTGGTGGTTACCCTAATCCGTGGCGTAATTTATTTCGTTGGTTTGCTTTGGGTGCAACTCCTGGCTATTCGCCGGTTAGGCGTCTCGTCTCCCTTTGTTTCCCTTTGTCCTCCTTCATGTGGGTGGTCTTTGTCGGATTCCTGAGCGTCTTGTCTCCCCATTGTCTCCCTTTGTCTTCCTTCTGTGGGTGTCCTTTGTCGTTTTCCTGAGCTTCACGTGGGTGGCCTTTGCCGGGGTTCCTGGGCGTCTTGTCTTCCTTTGTCTCCCTTTGTGTCCCTTCGCGCGGGTGGCCTTTGCCGGGTTCCCGGTAGCAAGCAAGCAAACAAGCAAGCAAGCAACCTTATTGAAACCCATCGTGCGAAAGCAAGCAAGCAAGTAACCAGGCGGCGACGAGAGCAAGCAAGCAATCAAGCAAGCAAGCAGGAGCGAAGCAAAGCCATCCCGCACGCAAGCAAGCAAGCAATCTTATTGAACTCCATCTTGCGAGCGGGGTGCCGCGGGGCCCGGGGGGGGAAATTGCGCCGCCCCCTCAACCCCCCCGCTTCTTTGGCCGTGCGAGCATAAAGCGTATGAGTCTTGCTGAAATTCATTGCGCTTGCAAATGAGAAGCATGGCTGCCTGAACAATTCCTGGGTTACACTTGTATGAGTACCACGCAAACTCCTCAGGGCTATGAAGTCTGGCTGGAACAAACCTTTAGGTTCCGGCGATGTCAGCTGTTGCCCCTGCCAAATCTAGGTGCGGTGGCTCGCGCACGTTACGCACGGTGGCTCGCACACGGTGGCTCGCGTGCGGTGGCTCGCGCGCGGTGGCTGCGAGGCTCGTGAGCGGTGGCTCGTGCGCAGTGGCTCGCGTGCGGTAGCTCGTGTGCGGTAGCTCGCGCGCGGTGGCTCGCGTGCGGTGGCTTGCCAGTTCCTGGATTGCCACAAACCTTTAGGTTCCTGCGTTGTCAATTGTTGACCCAGCCGACTTCGCCAGTTCCTGGATTGCGTGTGTGAATAACGTGCAAACTCCTTATAGGGTTGTATGAAGTCTGGCTGGAACAAACCTTTGGGTTCTTGTGTTGTCATTTGTTGCCCAACCTTTTTAGGTGCGGTGGCTCGCGTGCGGTGGCTCGCGCGCGGTGGCTCGCGTGCGGTGGCTCGCGCGCGGTGGCTCGCGCGGGGCGTTTCGTCGTTTTCTTTATTGCCTGTGTGAGTACCGTGCAAACTCCGTAGGGTTATGAAGTCTGGCTGGAGCAAACCTTTAGACTCCTGCGTTGTCAATTGTTGCCCCAGTCAATGAAGGTATTGTGGCTCGCGTGCGGTGGCTCGCGTGCAGTGGCTCGCGTGCGGTGGCTCGCGTGCGGTGGCTTGCGTGAAACTCCGTAGAGGGTTCTGCTGTCTGGCTGGAACAAATCTTTAGGTTCCTGCGTTGTCGGTTGTTGCCCCAGCCAAGTTAGGTGCGGTGGCTCGCGTGTAGTATGAAGCACTTCACACGTGCAATTTCCTTCTACTGTTTGGGGTCTTCGGTGGTGTAATTCTCTTAGAGATTTGTCGTATGTCCCCTGTCTTTGTGCTCGTAGGGTTTGATGAGGAAGGTCTTAGAGGCTTGTCGTATATCCCTTCCCTTCGTATTGGTAGGAAGAGGGCTCCTAGAGGTTCGGCCTAAAAGAACTAGAATCATAAAGTGCTTGAAAAGCCCATACCTGAGTCTCCAATTACAAGCTTCTCTTGGCAAGTTGGCCATTACATGGGAAGAGGGGAGCTCTGGCGCGAGTTATTTGGTCATCAGGGCGCACATGGGGTTAGTTGCTTATGGTGAAACCCAAACAGAGTAGATTGGTTACATAATCGTGGTTCCAAAAGGTTGTGAAGATGCCTCTGAAAACCTACCTATGCCCCTCAAAGAGAGTGGATCAAGCAAAGGTTTATCTCTTCGTGGGAAGAGCTCCTGTGGTATTTCCGAAAATCTTTATAATCGTTTTAGAGTTACAGTTCTACTTGCTCTACGAAAAGGTTCCATACAAGCGCAAAATGCATCCTATGTTTCTCTTAATATTTGTACTTTCTGATCACTGTAGAAGTAAAAATATATCCCTTAGAAGTCAGTCGTATATCCACTCTCTTTGTGCTCGTAGGGTTTGGTGAGGGCCTTAGAAATTTGTCGTATATTCCCTCCCTTCGTAGAGGGCCCTT